TATATATATTAATATGTTATTTTTAAAATTTTACATTTTATTTTTAATCATCAAATTATCTCACAAGCTTTAGAAGAAAATTATAATTAACCTGGACAGTCAATATATAGAGAAACTATTAACAAAGCATAAATTCATTTTTCAATATAAATCTTAGTTATTTTTAAAGAGAATGAGTTTTCTTTTTCTCTTCTTAACTTTTACAAAATTGAAGAATGGATAATGGGTTATATAGATTAATTAAAAATTTGTGTATTTTAGATCCCAATTTACATGGAACTATGCAATTTCTTATTTTAAATCAAAGTTACGAATGAATAATGAATAAAATAAATATCTGAAATATTGTTGATTATATTTCATTTCTTTTTTAAAGCATCAAGACATTCATCTTTAAGTTAATTAAAATAAAATTACTCTTCCTATCTTTAGTCCACTAATGATTATCTTTAATCTTTAATGCTTTGTCATAACACATTAAAGCTTCTTAATATTAATTTTAATCCTGTAGCAGCTTGCCTATTTATTTATAAAAATATATTCTCACCTTTTGACCATAATGAATCCAAATGATTGGGATTGACTTAAAGAGATTAATCAATAACAGTCATGGCTTCTTCATAATTTTTCAACATTCTTAGGGATATACCTTAACAATAATCTGAAATAGATACTTTTGGTCGACAATGAATTACAATGCTTTGAATCAATTTATAAGGCTTTGTCAGCCCAAATAATTGCATCATTATATTAACCAAGTCCTCTTAAACTAGAAGCTAAACTAATAATGAATTCTACCTTTAGTAAATAAGGAATTGCAATGTTTAGAATCAATTTGTAAAGCTTTGTCTACCCAAATAATTGCATCATTATATTGATCAAGCATTCTTAAGCTTTCAGCTATAAAAGAAAATTAATATTTATACCTTTTGTATATAATGAATTGAAATGCTTTGGATCAACTTGCAAAGCTTTATCTGCCCAAATAATAGCTTCATTATATTAGTCAAGCATCTTTAGACTCTCCGCTAGCAGATTAAAATTATGATCCTACCTTTGCACCACAATGCCAATTAATGCTTAGAATTTAATCTTAAAGCTTAATCAAGAATAGCTATTGCTTCCTCATATTTGTGATCATACCAATATAGTTTATATCCTTAATATTAATTTTTCATACCCTTTTGATATAATTCTTCAGATTTTTTGATATCTTAATCAGACACTTGATAATAGTTCAATTAGTTTAAATTTAAGTCTTAATATAGTTTTTATATTTAATCTTAAAGTTCGTTCGAATATTTTTGAATCAGTATTTCAATAGTGGATCTGAATGATTTGAATTAGATAGTTTCAGACAAGATGGAGTTTATTTATTTGGAATTTAGGTTAAAGATTTATTCTTTAGATATTTAATATTTAGTTTTGATTCCACCAATTAGTTGATAAAATGATTAATAAACAAAATCCATTTACTTGTTTAACCTATTTATTAAATCATCGCATTCTTTTTCGATTTTCTCAATATGATCAAACAAATTTTACAATTGATATTGATGTTGAGGATGAGAAAAATGTATTCCATTTCTGCTACATTGCATACAATATAATCTATCAGCTTTACAAGTTTCATCAAAGCAGACAAGCTTCACATTATTGGCATGTTCTGGGTTTGGGCATTTGATGATCAAATCATTATATTAATTCATAATATTAATAATATTAACATTTTTTTAAAGTAGGGTTAAACTAAAAAGATGTTAATTAAATTTCTATATCTGTATTAAAATTTAAAGATTTATTTAAAAATTCTTGATTTCTTAATAGGCTTTGATTGTTATAAATTTTTTTATCAACATTAGTTTGATTAAGATGCAAATAAATTTCTTACAAATAGTAATCCATAAAATAATTAATAGTGATGAATTCAAACACTAATATATCATAATTACTTTTATTATAAATCTTAAGAAGGGGGCATATTTTCTAGTAAACAACCCCACAGAATTGCTAGATTAGAAAATAGTAGAAGATTTGGTGACATAAAATAATGCTAATAAGGAGTCAGAAGTTGTGCATATGTGTAGGAACAAAAGGGAAAAATATTCTCTTAAAATAGAGAAAAATCTATGAATAAAAACACAATAGAGCCAAAAGGATAAAATGAGGTTAAAAATATGACTAATATTTTAGTAAATAATTATTAGAGAAAAGGAGAAGTAGGTATAGTGCAATAAGAAGATGGTTAGGATAGTTATAATGATATTTATAAAACTTAGTTTATATAATTTTATGGATTCTTAGATCCATCTGTTCTATAACTGTAATTTGAATGGTAATAATTAATGGAGCTTAAAAAAGAAAGAAAAGAACTTAGCAAGAAAATGAATTTGAGTACCTTCATTACAATTGCTATGTACATTCATTAGAACATAATTAGAAATTTAGAATAAAAAAAAAAAAATTACCCTAGTATTTATGTTAAAGGTAAGCTTGAATTAATCATACATTTCAAAATTGAATTATAATATTAAGTAAAGGGAAGGCTGAATGAAGATAAAAATAGAAATGCATAAAAAGTAATCAGCTGAGAAAAAAAAGAAAATAAGTTAATTGAGCGGGATTAAAGAATATGAAACTTATTCCATATAGGGAATCTAAGATTAATACTGGTCTAAAGATGGAAAATTGAAAAAGGAAATGAAAGTAGATATAGAAAATAGTAAATAGTGAACAAAGATGAGAGTAGGGAGATCGGAAAAAAGTAAGAAGAAAGGTAGATTGTATGATGCGCAATTTGACAAGTAGAGTTTAAGAACGATAATGGTCTAAAGATTCACAAAGCAAGAAAACATACATGGGTGAATAGGTATAAAAATTATTAGGAAGTGTGCATAATCTACATAAGTTTTTGAGGCAAATTCCGAACACAAAAATCTTAATTAACAAAAAAGGAGGTAGCATTATAGAAGAGAAAATTAGAATAATTCTAGATGTAAAGTTTTGTAAAATAGCTCATCATATATGTACTTTTACAAATTTGGAAAGCCAAACCATTCAGGGGGAGTGTGATAGATAATCATAACAGTTTTTCTTGTAATATCATTACTGAAAAGTTAAATGTTTTTAATAATGAAGTTGATGTTATTATGGTAAATGCTAGAAATTAGTGTTGTAATTTAGTGATAATAAATCTTTATTTTAATAGAACTAAACTTTATAAGTAAAATAAGAGAAAATTAGTGTAAATATTGGTTGATTTGATTCAAAAGCGTAAGGACAATCAAATGGTCATTGTCTGTGAAGATATTAAATTGAAGAAAGTTAATGTTCAAAATTTTTAGAAATATCGAAAAAGACTCGTATCGCTTACAAAGATTGGTAGAAGGAAAGGCTAGATAATCCAAAACCGATGAGTTTATAGTTTTTTCCAAAATCATATGTCTGATCATTGTAAAATCTGAATAGAATTGGAATTTAAAGTGTGAGTGGATTAAAAATAGAATTTACTATATAAAAAATGTAAAGCATATCAATTAAATATAAGGGCTCGAGATAATTGCACTTGAGGATTATTTTGAATCTATTAGAAGGAATATAAGAATAAAATAGGTGATAATTAAATAGAGGATTAAAATCCTGCTTTAAATATTAAGGTAAAACTTTACAGAAAGTACTTTAATAGTCGCAGATGCTTTTAGCGAGCAAAGAGTTAAGGCTTCAAAAGATTAAGCAGTTAAAGAACCTCAATCAAAATAAAAAGAAAGGTGGCATTTTTGAGCTCTTTTATAATGATGACGGAGAATTTGTTGCAATAGAGTAACATAATTGATTGGATTAGAAATTGTACGTTCGAACCGAGCTCCACTGTTACCTAAGAACAACTGAAATTAGAAAAATTACCATATAGCGAGATCTAAAAATTGTAAGGTTTCATGCCTTACAATAAGTCGATTAGTAGTGTGACTAAAATAAATAAAAAGTTAAGAGGCTAAACTTGTTTCTTAGAATAAAGTTTTCCGTATATTCCTAATAAAGCATAATTTTGGCCAATTACAATTCTGAGAAATATGTCGAAATTTATGTGATTATATGAGGAAAGTACATACTTAGGAATTGTGATTAATAGGTTAGGAAATTTGAAGAATGATATTACAAAACCTAAGTAAAGAGTACAATACATAGACAAGGAGTTAAGATGGATCACTATATTTATGAATTGTAGAGAGAGAATACATAAATTGATGTAATAGATCAATGTGATGGTTATGAGAGCAAATGATTAAAAGTTAATTTATCTAATATGCCTATTAAATATGAATAGTTATTGAATAAAAGAAGGTCTTAATGTAAAATACATTCATAAAGGGCCACATATAAGCATTTGATAAAAGATCACTTAAATAAGAATTTTAGCACAATTAATAAGAAAATAATTAGTTTTGAAAAGAGTAAAAAATGGAAGATGATAGAGAATTAAAGGGGTATAATAATTATGAAAAGATTATATAATTTCATATATATGTTTTTCTATTCTCCCAACAGGGTAGAATAATAATAATCATATTATATCATAAAATGAATATATTTGGTGAAAATATTTGATTGAATAAATATAAAATCTAATCAGTTTAGTTGAACATCTGAAATATATGTAAATAAGGATTTGTTCTTCTGCTGAACAAAATTAGTTAATAGGAGTAAAATTAAAGTTTTTGTCATTATACATTATTTATTTGTAAATTAAAATCAGGGTTATGTTCAAAACTACTTGTAGGTTTTTTTTTAATAAGATTGACGGGCTAATACTATTTGAAAAAACAAGCAGAATTCCTTTACAATAGCATTTCACTATGCCATTTTGGGTTATTTTTATCAGAAGATTATCAAATAGATTAATTGACTTCTCCAGTATTTTCTAATTAAATTTAGGTTTCTATACATATTTTTTGTAAATTTCTTTAATATAAAAAACAAAATATTAATTTACTAATTATCGAAATTGAAAATGTCAAAATTGTTATTTTTATTATATCGATTTGAGATCTTCATAATTTCTCAAAAAACTAATTATTTTGTAATTCAAATAACTCTGATTTTAGTAAAATCTTTATTCAGGCTTTAAAAAAATATAAAGAATAATGTTTTTCAATATTTAATAAGTTTTTAAACTATTGAATAAGAAGCATATTAAAAGAACATTCGAATCATAATTATATTATACTTTGAACTTCATATATATTAGCTTATTAATTTTTTCTTCTATCATAAATTTATTCAAAAATGAATTATTTTTTAGATTGCAATTAAGTTTGTAATGCGTTTCATGGATCAGAGAAGGAAAGTGAATAATATAATTAATAGGTGAGATATTTTATAATAAAGCTATTTGGAAAAGATGTATGTTGTTGCAATAGAGTTAAGGATTATAATTATTCATATTGGGATTCTAATTAAGAAAGATTAGTGAAAGTTCCATTTCAAATGCTTCTTACTAAAGAGAAACATATTAAATATATTATAGATGGATAAATTGTCAGAATGTATTATTGAAGTTTGAAAATAGTGATAAATTTATCAACAGAGATGAAGAATTGAATAATATCGAATAGATCAAATATTTGTTATGGAAGGGATCTTACAATTAGAGTTACAATAAAGTTGCTAAATGGAGTGCAATTTGGAATGGAGATTAATTATTAGAAGTTGGTGGATATTACTCTGTGGATAGTCTAAAGCAAGGTTTTTGGAAAGAACTCAGCAGAAATTACTTTAAGTATTGAAAAGATTAATAATAAATTTATAGTTAAAATTAAGTTTATGAATGTGGAGAATACAAAAATGGATTAAGAATTCAGAAATGGAAGTATATGTATGAAAATAAAATAATGTATTAAATATTTTTGATAAATCTAGAGGTGGAGGATATTACAATGAAGCAGGCATGAAGAAAGGGAAATGGGTTGATTTGAGTTTTGACTTTTGGAGGTATTGAAATTAGTTAAATTAAAAATTCAGTCAATGCTAGGTAACCTATTGTGGTGAATATTTGGATGGAAAAAAAGTTGGTTTATGGGATATATTTTATAAAAGGATAGATGAATTAAGATTAATGTATTTACTCAATTGAGTTATATTTAACATAAGTGGAGGAGGATCATATGTTTTGTAAAAGGATGGAGGTGATTTTAATTCAAAAAAGATTGGAATTTGGACTGAATTGGCTAATGGGTTTTAGGAGTATTTTTTATGTAAAATTTCTAGTAACAACTAAACAATCTGGCGCGGTGAATATAAAAATGATCAAAAAGTGGGTAAATGGGCTATTTTAAGGAGGTTAGATCAATCTGATCCATTTCAATATATGTAACATAAGACTATTAATATTTTTCTAAATCTACAACAGTGGTGGTGGCTCTTATGATTACAAATCAGAAGATAGTTGTGTTGTAGATTCAATTAAAATTGGAAATTGGATAGAATTTAGGAGTGGTCAATAGTATATGTTAGAGATTATCTAATTAGAGATTGTTATGTTACTTAGGGTGGTTAATATATTAAAGGTAAAAAAGTTGGTAGATGGGAATCATTTATCCAAGGAGAACTGATGTATGTTTCTCATTTTATTTTTTAATTAATAGAGGTGGTGGATCTTATGATGCAGATTCATAAAATGAGGAAAGTCTAAAAGATCCAATCAAGTTTGGGAAGTGGATAGAGTTGAGTGAAGGATTTTAGATGTATAAGCTTTTTTTATCATAATTAAGAGATAGTGAAGTTACTTATCATGGTGTGTATTAAAATGGGAGAAAAGTGGGTAAATGGGACACTTTTTATTAAGACGAATAGATGTAAATAAAATATTAAACTTTTTATTTAACTCAAATATTTATAAAACAATAGTGGGGGTGGATCTTATGGTGAAAATAGTGCTTCAAGTTAAATAAAATTAGGTAAATGGATTGAGTTAAGTGATTGTTTTTGGGGGTAATTTTGACTTATTTTAATATGTGATTAGTGGAGGATAAATAATATTTAATGGTGAGTATCATGATGGAAAAAAAATTGGTAGATGGTACACCTTATATAGAAGGTGGAAAAAAGACTCATTCGAAGAAATGTAAGTGTAGATTATTATGAACTTTTACAATCTTGTATGATTCAAAAACAAGTGGTGGGGGATCTTATGATTGTGAGGAGAGAGGCAGTGCACTAGGTTCATTGAAAATTGGAAGTTGGGTTGAACTGAGTCCAGACTTTTGTGGGTATTTTTATTAGCCATTTTTAAATATAGTATCAGTTAAATCACTTATAATGGCGACTATTAAAATGGATACAAGGTTGGTAATTGGGTTATATTATACAGAAAACATAAATATAAAAGATATAAATAGATGTACAAAAATAAATTAAAATAGTGGTGGAGGATAATATGATAATTGTAGAATTTATAGTTTATTGAATTAAAATAAGATAGGAAAGTGGATTGAGTTAAATGATTTATATATAGAGTATTTCTTTTTTGTGAATTTTTAGAGGTAGAAGAATTAAGTATGTTGGAGAATATAAAAATGGGAGAAAATTTAGTAGATGGAATACTATTTTCGAAAAAGAGTTAATGTAAAAATAGAATATAATTTATTTTATTTTAAATTGTAAATAGTGGTGGAGGAGATTATTCAGAAGATGATAAATTTTAAGGCTCCATTAAAACGGGAAAATGGATTGAGTTGATTGGTAAGTTTGGGAATGGATATGGCTACTCGCAATCTATCTTTGTTGGTGATTATAAACATGGGAAAAAGGTTGGCGCTTGGAAATAGATGATTAGAAATGAGAAAAATAAGGAGACAGAATTTAAACAAATGTAAGTATTTATAAATTATTATAAAAAGTACGGAATTAAAATATGAATATTGACAAGGGGGATTATTGTATAAGTGAGATTTGTATAACAAAATATAATAATAACAAAAATAAATTACTATTATTTGTTAAATTTATAAAAATTGAATACTAAATAAATTAGTATAATTTATGTGATAAGTAAATGTAAACTAATTTTTCTTTTTCCAATTCTACTTCTCTTAAAATCTATTTTCTCATAACAATATGATATAAAGTTTGCTTGAATTGATTGTTAAATTATAACATTTATTTTAGTTTAGTTACTATGAATAATTGTAACTAATTATTTCAGTTTTCGTTCTTTTGATTAAGATAATAACTTTTACATTGTATAACTCTAGCAGCCAATTCTAACTGAAATTGTAAATGCTGAAAAAAAATAATCTCATCTAAAATTATCTTCTTTAATCGGTAAGAACATTTTGCAAAGATCTCAGGAAATAAATAAATGATAATTAAATACTACTCTTTTAATGTTATTAGATCTTCAGGATTATAACAAATTTTAAAATAAATTAATAATTTTAGTGAATGAGTGATTAAGAAAGAAATGCTAGCTTAATTAAAGAGAAAAATGTTTAAAAAATTTACAATTTAATACCAGATTCATTACCTGATGAAATGAAAGAAGCTCTGAGATCTTCTGTAGACAATTTTGCTAAAGAAGATTCTGATATAGAAAAAATTGAAGATTATGTATCAAAACTTGATTCAGATGATATTAATATTTCATACTACGGACTTAATAGATGCCGAAAATTATTGAGCAATGCTAAATAATCTATACCCACAGAATCACTTATTGAATTGATTCTTAAAACTAATGTTCAAATAAAAGTTTTTGATATAGCCAAAAACAATAGTATTCCTTTGTTAAAATATGAGGCACTTTGGATAATTTGTAATATTGGATGTGGAACTCAAAAATAAATATAACATATTTTAGATAATGATGGAATTAATATTCTTTTTCTGGCGCTTGAATCTGAGTATGATGAAATAATTGAATTAGGAGTTTGGGCATTAGCAAATATTTCAGGGGACAATGTGTAATTTAGAGATATGCTTCTAAATTAAGGAATAGTAGAACCTTTAATCAAATTAGCAATGCGGTATATAACTGATAGTTCTGATATCTTCAAAACAATTGTATGGGCAATTAGTAACCTAGCCAGAGGAAAACCAACCCCAAAAATTGTAATATAACGACTTATAATTAGTATTAAAAGGAATTAATGTCGATTCTTTCAGAAATAATAAATAGTATTGAGGACGAAGAATTGTTAATAGATGCATGTTGGGGCTTGAGTTACTTAAGCGAATAAGAAAATCAGATAGATACCTTAATTAACTTTGGAATTCTTGATAAATTAGCTTTGCTACTATAATCAGAAAAATAATCACTTGTAATTCCTGCTTTAAGAATAATAGGGAATATTTTAACTGGTAATGAGGAATAAACAAATCATGTTTTAAACACTGGAGTGGTTTCAAGATTTGAAATTCTGCTTAAACATAAAAATAAAGCAATTCGCAGAGAAGTTAATATCAATTTATATTTAAGGTTTGTTGGTCTTTGTCTAATATTGCTGCTGGTACTGCAGCCTAAGTAAAATAAATCATCAGAAACGATTCACTTTTGAGTTCTTTGTTTGAAGAATTAGAAAAAGGAATCCCTGAAATTAAAAAAGAAATTGCCTTCATTCTATCAAATTCTGTTATTTATGCAGAATTAATTGACTTAGATCATCTTGTTATGTGTCATGGATTAATTTAAAAATTATCTAGCCTTTTAGATATGAGTGATAAAACAGTTATTAAAGTAAGTCTAGAGGGTATTTATGAATTTCTAAAGAGATGTAATAATTCAATTTATAAAGTTTAAAACGACGAAAAATATGAAATATATAAATAAATGATTGAAGAGTCAAACCTGATTGAAAAAGTCGAATAAAAATAGTCTCATCCATGTAATGTAATTTATGAGAATGCTACTAAAATTTTGGATTTTTTGGATCCTGAAGAAATTATCTGAGAATTGATATTTTTTTTATTAAAATTGTATATATAGTGAAAATTTGTCAGAATTAAGTTTAAGAGTTTCTTTAGAAGAATACAAAATCAGATAGAAATAAAGTACACTTAATGAGATAGATTGAAAATGGTAATAAATTTGTTTAAAAAAATATACTAATAAAATTATCTCAGCAATCTAAATCAAATAAATATTCTTCTGATGAACTAAATAATAATTAGTAATTCTTCAGTTTCAAAAAAGGTAAAACAATTCTTCTTAATATTAGATTTTCAGATTACTTCTTAAGCTATAAATCTAGCTGTAAACTCAATTATAAACCATAGAATAATCACTTATTTTCAATTTAGAAATACCCTTCTAATAACTCTTTAAATAATTAATAATATTATTTTTGAAATCGAAAAAAATGCTACCAACTGTTTACAGAGATAACAACCATGTTTTTGTGCAATTCTTTCAAAGATATATAACTAATTTCAAATTTTAAAGATTGCAATTTTCTATCGAAATTTGTCATTAATTTATTTGGAGTAAACTTAGAACTTTTATTTGCCTTTAATTGTTTGAGGTTGTATAGTTTGGTGAATTTTTTAATTTAATTTATGATGGTTGTATAATCTAAAGAGAGTTATACTTATTTTACAACTTGGAAATATGGTTAAGTTAACTTATGTCAGCTATCAGCAAAGTTAAAATTTCGAAAATTTTGAGCAAAATTAAACACTATTTGAATTAGCATATCCGTTCTGCTAACAAATACTTTTTATTTACATACAAAGTTAAATATTTTAATTATTGGGTAATTAAATTATTCAATTTAGATTTCGGATCAATTGTTTTCCTATTAGATTTATATAATAAAATAATAAAGTTATAATAATTTAATTATTTGTTTAATGTAACTTAGAATGTCTTTCTTAATTCTCCTTCATAGCACAATTTGTCTTAATAAATCCATATTGAAATAGAATAGTTGCCCTATCAATTAAAACATTAGTATAAAAAAATTCTAATGAAAATTTTTTAGCGACATAGAAAAAATAATTATATTATTTTTTCAAGCTTGCTGTTTAATAACAAATTTTAAGCATACTTCATATATACTTCAAATAAGAGTAACCCAATAATTTCTTATACTATCAGTTTTAAGTAGAAAATAATGCTTCCATTATAATATATTACTAATTCCTAAAATATTATGAATGATTAGTTCATCGCTTAATATTAATTAAATAATTATCAAATAACCTAGGATTCCTCTTAATTCCTGAACATATTTTCATATGGTATTAATAAATTGAAATAAAATATTGAATAGTAGAAATTTTTGTTAAAAGTAAACATTGAAAGATATTAGATGATGAATCAAAAGAACATATATTTGGAAAATAAAAATAAAAATACCAAAATTATTCCTTTCAATATATTTTACAAAAATATAATTAGATCAAGTTATTTTTTAGATTATGTGCATAAAATGTATATTTAATTATTAATTATATAATTCTATTTTTAAATCAAATAAACATCATAACTGAAATACATTGAATATGCTATTTTGTAGTTTAAATCGGAATAAAATGAGAATTAAATATAAATCAAACTGATATATGAATGTCATCATATGAATGCAAAGGTCTAATAGCATAACAAGCAGAATTTTATTTTTATGAAATAATAAAAATAATTACTTTGCAATAAATTCTAAGGTATAATAAAAAATTCATCCCGTGTAAAGGTATAAATAGTTACTTCAAAGGGCAAGCAAAACATAGTGAATAATTTTCTATTTTTATGGAAAGATGTATTTTAGTAGGATTGGAAACTTGAATAAAGTTATGGAATTTGTAGTAGATGATACGTTAATAAATTACAACAAATTAGCTTAAAGTGTATGATTAAGTAACTTTGAATCAATAATTATACTATTTTATGTCTTGCTGGAATTCAATTTATTATCCACTTTCACTAGATAAATGGAATTATTTTTTATGTTTAAATTTTTGATAAGATATTTTATCTTTTTAATCATTATAACTGATTTATTAATTTAAATAAAACAATGGTATAGAAGCTTCTGTAAAGTTGGCTTTAAAGATCCCTAGAGCTGTGGATTTTAACAATTTTCCTTCATGTCATTTTCCTTAATTCATTTTGCTAAAAAGTACTTGCACAAAGTGAAATCAGCAGATCCTTTTTTAGTCCTTTTAACACAGATGATAGTAATTAACTTATAATATCACAGATTGGAATACCTATTTAGCTGAAAATTCAAACCACATCACAAATTGTGTAACTTCAGATATATTTGGAGGACGATTTGTTTTTAATTCATAAACAGTAATAACAAAGACATTTATCCTCCCTCCTCATTATAAACTTAAGATCGAGTTAAATTTCTGGAGGTTGTATTTTTTTTAAATTTGTTTATTAGATTGGATCCTTGGAATTCATTCTTTTATATAGTATTTGTTAATGGAGAAAAAGCAATCTCGAATAATCCTAATTCCTCAGGAACAGAAATTTGTGGAAGTGGATCTCTTGGTTAGGTTGATACAATCAGTAAATAGATGGACCATATTGGAAATTCAGCCGTTATAATAATAGTATCAAGATAAGCATCAGCATATTGGGGAATCTCTGATTTTAAATTGTCAATCTTAAACTGTCCATATCTTTGTGATTATTGTAATTCAGTTGGAGTCTGTCAGATATGGTATAGAGTTTTAACTTATTTTACAACTCCAACATTCACAAATGGATAAGGATGGCTAAAAGATAATGCATAATATGATAGTGTATTAGATTGTGGTTATAATAATTAAATATCCTAGGTTTTCAATACTATGGAAATTTCTTAACAACTCAATTGGCCTCTGTTAATTTAATTTTAAATGATCCTCATACAAGAATAAAAGTGGCATTCATATTTCTATCTGTAGAGATCACTAGTTCTGTAACAATAGAAGTAAATGGTGATACATAGATGTATTATTTTACTACTTCACTAAATACAGTAGCAAATTATGATTATTTGTGCGGTTCTGATCTTAAAATGACCAGGATTGAAACTTTAGGGCCAAGTAGCACTTCTTCAACCATGACAATTACTATTGGAGTTCCAACTTACCTGACCACATCCCTGAACACACCATATTTCGGTATTAGAGACTTTGAAGTCTTTACATATTAGGAGAATAAAATAATAGATTATACTCTTATCCATAAAAATGATTATATCCTTACCTTTGAAGGTTTTTTTTCTTAACAGTACAATTGTGTAGTAGGGTGTAGTAATTGTATTCGAGATTTATGCATAGAATGTTTTTCAGGTTGGAATTTTGATGCGAATTCTTTAGAATGTCTACCAATTTGTGGAGATCAATTGATTTTAAACTATGAAGAATGTGATGATGGAAACTTATATCCTAATGATGGATGTTACTAGTGTAAATTCTCTTGTCCACTAAATTGTGTTTAATGTGAATTTGGTTAATGCAAGATCTGCTACCACAATTACAAATTGATAGATAATTATTGCTAATTGTCTTGCCTGTATGAGGATGAGGATAGTTTAATTAAATATGATATATAAATCAAAGAAGGTCATTATTGTTAAATAGCTAATTTTTTGACAAATGCATATCTTTAGCATTTCATTATCAACACCAACCTTTAATTTGGAGATCAAGATCCTCAATGCTAACTCTAAAATTACGGTATTTTTGCTTATTAATATAATTAATGTGAGTATAAAGAGCCGCCTAATTGTATCATCTCTATTTTTAATGACTGTGAACTTTGCATGAATCAATTTGAAAGGACGTTCGATGGTCAATGCATTCCTATTTGTAGTCAAGGGATCTACTATCGGGATGAATTTCCTTATAATTCTTTTGAATTTTAGTTTGATAGTACTTTTTAAAGTAGTAGATGTCAATTAGAATGCTTAGAATGCCACAATTCATTTTGCTTTTCATGTTTATAAGGATGGAATCTAGTGGATTACAGATGTGATTATTAATGTGGGGATGGTATAATAGCTATGAATTCTAATGAATAATGTGATGATTAAAATCAGGATGGTGGAGATGGATGCTATGAATGTAAATTTGAATGTTAATAAAATTGTGTATTTTGTAATGTTCATCATGAATGTGTAATTTGTAATGAGTATTTTGAGATTAAGGATAAAAATTGTATTCCAATATGTGGAGATGGGTTTGTTGTGGAAGGATAAGAGATTTGTGATGATGGTAATGATATTCAATACGATGGATGTCATAATTGTGAAAATTCTTGTAGAGAGCATTGCCAAATTTGTGACTATTAGAACTGTTTAGATATTTCTGATTAAGCGGATATTAATCCTGATTCTGATAATGAAATCATATCGATTTGTGGTGATTCTATTGTCACTTCCTTTGAATAATGCGATGATGGTAATGATGATCCCTTTGATGGATGTGATTTATGCTTGTATTCATGTCCTTTAAATTGTAAAAATTGTTTGTAAAATCTTTGTGAGGATTGCAATAGAGGCTTTGTAAAGAATGGTAATGATTGTCAGACACTTGTGGAAATGGGTTTAAATCGGATTAAGAAGATTGTGATGATGGTAATCACTTATCTCTAGATGGATGCTCAGATATGTGTAATATAGAAATGTATTGGACATGCTTTGAGGATGATCTCAGAAAGAGTTCTTGTCTTTAAAATATACCTCCTCATTTTAAACTAATATTCTTAAATTAAACTTATAATGTCTAATATGTCTAATTATAATTTACTAATAAAATTAAACTACTAGATTCATCATAAAATTTAACTCAAAATTTTAAAGCTTAACTTATTGATATCGATCCTTCTCATTATAATATCAGCGATGTATTAGTTAATGAACCTGACAATTATAGCGTCCATGAGATTATTTATTAATTACGAATTGAAATCTTAGAATAATAAACAAAAGATATTATTTTACAAGTTCAACTAAATACTGTATTGGTTGATCAAGATTATTTTTAAGTTGATAATGATATTTCTACGATTCGTCTCAAAAACCCTATTGTATTAACAGCTGCATAAAAGGAGATTTCCCATAACATTAGTACTTATAATCTGGCTATACTTATATTCCTTGGAATATCAAGTGTTATTATTTTGATGTCTGGTCATCCTGCTGAATGCTTCGAAATCCTGGATACAATTTAATTTTAATCCAATTTAAAATTTATTAACATATCCTTTCCAGAAAACCTGATGATATATTTTGAATCCTCTGAAGTTGTTACAATTATTCCTATTTTAGAAAAATTGGTATGTTAAAGTTATGTTAAGATGTAATTGGATCACAATAAATGCAATCCTTTGGTAAATTTTAAAACTACGATATCAATTCTGATTTAATTAGTAATTTATATGGTCTTGCTAGTCAAATGCTATTCGGAACGATATTACTTATATTGTCATATTGCTATTTAAGATTTATATTCCGAACTTGGTTTACTTAAATAAGAATCTTTATTTATGATAATAAATCTATGCTTGTTTCATATAACTTAGCATTTTTAATACATGCGGTGAATTAATTTAGCTTCGGATTACATAAAATTTTAACATAACAAGGGGTTGTTTATATTCTCTAAGTAAATTGTTGGGATTTAATTTTTAAGACATTACTCTATCTGTTCACTGAAAAAGAAAACAATCTGAGAAATATTGCATAAACTATAATTTCAATAATCATTTTAATCGCAATAGTATCTTTGATGTCTTTATTTTTCCAGTATTCATTAGCTTAATTAAAACCAAATAAATCTACAAATTTTTGTCATGAAGGCATCATTATTGCCAAGAAAATTTTAATATTAATAATGTTAATAGGATCTTAAAGCAATCTTATTCTGCAATGTGTAGTTATTGCATTTGTCAATACTTTTTATATTATCTTAATAATTTGTTGTAAAATGGTGAAAAATACAATTGATTTGATGGTGATTCTCATATTTGAAATTCCAATTATTATCTTTGCATTGCTTAATCTTTCATTTGACTAAAATTTTGTTAAGCTTTTAAGTCCATAAGTGTAAGTTTAAATAGGTTTTATTCAAATTGGTCTTTTGTCTGTAGGAATTACAGCTCCTTTAATTAAATACGCCTCTTAAATTAAGACTAAAGTCGGCAACCTTATTGAAAAAAGGAAGCAAGAAAAAATAAAATAACTCTAAAAAAAAAATCAATAAACAAATTTATTCTATTGATTTAATTTATTCGTATTAAAAACCCTTATAATTAATATAAAGAATCATCAAAATGATCGATTATTATTATATTTCTTAAGATAATTATTAATGTATAGCAATTATTTTGTTTGAAAAATATAAAAAAACATTCATGATGGTTGCTACAAACACTTCATATTTGAGTAAATGTATTAATGAAGAATTTAGCATAAATCACCTTCATTATTATAATCAACACAAATTTGTTGATATTTTTGTAGTTTTGTAGTAAAATATTTATAATTAAACAGGATTCTAGCAGAAACTAATTTATCCAAAGGGAGTAAGGACTAGTTCATATAAGTTTATGATGCTTATGAGCAATGCTGACCATGTATTTGAGGATTCTATAAAATATAACAATCAAGCATTATTAAAATTATTTCACTCCTTTTTCCTTCTATATATATTAGATTGATACAAGATGTTAAAGAATCTCATCTTTTACGGTGGAGCATCATAATATATATACTTTATGGCGATTTAATTTTGTATTTAGTTCTTCTTTATCTCTTATATTTTTTCTCATCTTTTTCAACCAAATCTTTCAGACCTTTTCACCTCTAATATTACAGACCTCTATATTAAAATCTAAATTCTATTTGTATAATAAATTTAGTTTTTAAAAGAATTGAATATTCATCCAGTCAGAAATCAAGGTTGAGTTTGTGAAAGAGACATTATGTAGAACAAGAAAACTCTTTAAATAATTAGTTAATCACTANCCAGTATTCATTAGCTTAATTAAAACCAAATAAATCTACAAATTTTTGTCATGAAGGCATCATTATTGCCAAGAAAATTTTAATATTAATAATGTTAATAGGATCTTAAAGCAATCTTATTCTGCAATGTGTAGTTATTGCATTTGTCAATACTTTTTATATTATCTTAATAATTTGTTGTAAAATGGTGAAAAATACAATTGATTTGATGGTGATTCTCATATTTGAAATTCCAATTATTATCTTTGCATTGCTTAATCTTTCATTTGACTAAAATTTTGTTAAGCTTTTAAGTCCATAAGTGTAAGTTTAAATAGGTTTTATTCAAATTGGTCTTTTGTCTGTAGGAATTACAGCTCCTTTAATTAAATACGCCTCTTAAATTAAGACTAAAGTCGGCAACCTTATTGAAAAAAGGAAGCAAGAAAAAATAAAATAACTCTAAAAAAAAAATCAATAAACAAATTTATTCTATTGATTTAATTTATTCGTATTAAAAACCCTTATAATTAATATAAAGAATCATCAAAATGATCGATTATTATTATATTTCTTAAGATAATTATTAATGTATAGCAATTATTTTGTTTGAAAAATATAAAAAAACATTCATGATGGTTGCTACAAACACTTCATATTTGAGTAAATGTATTAATGAAGAATTTAGCATAAATCACCTTCATTATTATAATCAACACAAATTTGTTGATATTTTTGTAGTTTTGTAGTAAAATATTTATAATTAAACAGGATTCTAGCAGAAACTAATTTATCCAAAGGGAGTAAGGACTAGTTCATATAAGTTTATGATGCTTATGAGCAATGCTGACCATGTATTTGAGGATTCTATAAAATATAACAATCAAGCATTATTAAAATTATTTCACTCCTTTTTCCTTCTATATATATTAGATTGATACAAGATGTTAAAGAATCTCATCTTTTACGGTGGAGCATCATAATATATATACTTTATGGCGATTTAATTTTGTATTTAGTTCTTCTTTATCTCTTATATTTTTTCTCATCTTTTTCAACCAAATCTTTCAGACCTTTTCACCTCTAATATTACAGACCTCTATATTAAAATCTAAATTCTATTTGTATAATAAATTTAGTTTTTAAAAGAATTGAATATTCATCCAGTCAGAAATCAAGGTTGAGTTTGTGAAAGAGACATTATGTAGAACAAGAAAACTCTTTAAATAATTAGTTAATCACTATAGTGAAAATTTCATGTACAAAATGCATTAGAGCCTATACTTTATTGCCTTTTCACTTTGATAAAGCATTCTAAAATTAATTCAAGATACCTTAAAAATCTCGATTTCTTGAAATATATACTTTGAATTTTATTCATTGAATTTAATTTAACATCTAAGTTCCTTTATGAAAAGTAAGTATAGGATAATTAAGAAATTATCCTACAATGAATCAAAAAAAATCTTTTTTACTTATTTTACTAATGATCCATTTTGAAAAGAATCTAAAAGCATGTTCTAGCTGTTCTGACTTCGGATAATCATTAGTATTGTCGTCTAAAGTTGAGGAGAAATTTTTTAGAATCAATTAAATAGCTGGAGATATTAACAGCAAAAGCTCTATTATTAACGCTCAAAATAAGAAAACTAGGTCAAATTTAATTAAAAAAAATCATTTCATATAAAAGCAAGGTTAAACAATTTAAAAAAATAGGAAAATTGATTTTTGTTTTTAATTGTGATCATGAAAATAATTCTTTTTTTATGATTGTAAGTCTTTCAATACTCTAATCAATACTTAATAAAATACAATTAATAATCAATATAAAATGAATAATTCTAATTCATTGAGTTGTTACCTTAAATTTTCTTTTTAATTCTTCAGTACTCTACATAAAAGCGAGACAATAGTGTAGGAATCCTAATAGTATTGCCATTGCTTATAATGTGATTCACAATAAGAACTATTTAAGAAAAAAGGGTGTTGTTTAATAACCAAACCCATATAAATTTAGTAATTATTTAAACTGGCTATCAAACACAATATCATTTCTTTTTGGAATATCGGTTGCTTTGCCACACAGCTGCCTTTATAATTTTTCAATCAACATAATATTACTTGGTACTAATTCCAAGCAGAAGGCACAATTATTATGTTATTTGGTTTAACTAAGCTTCAGAAAGCTAATTATTTGTATAAAATATGAAGAATCTCATAGCAGGTTAAATCAAATAAATATTTTAAGGAGTATATTTGATAAAACTGTATGATTTCCACCTTCTTTTTCGTATTTATTAACATAAAGAAGAATGCGGAGACTAGAAGTATAAATATTTATATATCAATGTAAGTAAAGAATAGTATGATAGGTTCTTCCTAAGTTTAGCCTTCTGAGTGAAAATGAGAACAAATCAGATAATTGTGGGATAATTAATTATAATATAGATGCAGCGAAATATTGAAGATTAGCAATATGAATACCATTATTAATAATATGTGTAGCTAAATTAAAGACCTTTAGCACCATTGGTGGAGGATATTTGAAAATAATAATATCAAATTAAAATTTATTTGCCTTTGATGGAAAATTTAAAAAGAACTGGTAAAAATGGCATTAAATTTTTAACTTGTAAAGTGATTTACGGAAGCTCTATATAACCAGTTTTATGAAAATTTGTGATATAATAAAAATATAAAGATATTAAAATGAAGACATAATTATTGCTTATAGCTACGATATCTCTTTCATTCCAAGCCTTGACTGCCACAAAAATTTGTGATTGCACAGAAATTGTTTAACCTGCTGATTGTAAAGATGGATGCACTTGGTCATCTGCTGATTCTGCATGCACAGCAAAGACAGTTGATTGCACCACTTACACCAGTTAGCCAACATGTGATTCAAATGATTCATGTGCATGGAATGATTCAACTTCAAAATGCGCAAACTTTACAGCCTGTGTAGATTACACTGTGTCAGTAGTTGATTAATGCTATTCCAAAAGTAGTACCTGTATTCCAGGAGCAACTGGAACAGATGGAAAGACTACATGCAAAACAGGATCAGTCTCATGCTCAAATTTTTAAAATTCTTCAGATTGCAACTTTAAGTCACCAAATGATACAACCATTTGCTGGTTCAAAGCCAGTACTTGTTCACCAATTGACGTTTCAAAATGCTCAGCAATAACTGAGTAAGAGGTATGCGCACTACACTGCAAATGGACATAAGGAAGTGGTTGTTCTGCATTTACATGTGCCGATAGGGTTTCAGCCGAGACTTGAGTAACAGTACATTTAGATGATCACTCTGGAGTCAATATTTGTACCTGGGCTAATAATGCTTGCACTGATGCTACTGATGTTAGTGCTTTAACATCATCAAATTGTTTTGATAAAACCTCAGGTCATTATTATTGGGATGGAAGTGCTTGTTCTGAATGTTCAGGATCAAGCAGTAAGGCATATATTATGGCCTTCATTGGATTCATCGCCATGGTTATGTTTTGATTCAGTATTAAATATTAAGTCATCAATCAATTATTATAATTTCATTTTATCAGTAATATTAGACAACTCTCATTTTATTTAATACAAATAAATAATGATTTGATTAATTAATTTTGTCTTGAGGAAATCTGAACTGTAAAATATTGCTTTATTTGCAACGAAGCAAGGTTAGCCTTATTTTTCAAGATCTATTTGACTTTACCTTCAATATTTCAAAGTGAAAACATATCATCCAATTTTACAGATCAAATAAATTTCGAATTAATTAACATCTAATTAAGAGAATTCTGACATAAAAGTAATGAAAATAATTATACACAATTTAAAAGTAACAATGAACCTATGCAATTAGTCTTCATTCATATTCTGATTTCTTAAGGGAATAATTAGAATTATATGTTATTTTTAAAATCCAATAATTATTAACTATTATTTAATGGAATAATATTAAAATAAAGATCAACATATTCATCAATATTCTTACTTTTATTTAATGATCATGCGAATACTTTCAAACTAACTTAATAAATGAATTAGCATAACTGCAATAGCATAATACCACTCTCCTTAGTTAACTTAAATATCATTACAAATCTGATAAGAAAATGGGTAAAGGGGATAATTATGCTATTATTTTGGTTATATTTATTAAGACTAATTAATGATTGCTATTTTTCTTAAGCTAATTATTGTAAATAATTTCACTTCTTAAATAATTTTGGATTAAATTCTTATGATCCAGTAGAATTCATGAGCTTTCGGCAATGATAATTCTAAATTAAATTTGCTTAATTTAGTATTTGGAGAATTTCAACCGAATCGACAAAACCGATTAGTTAATTTTGATTGAATATTACTATCAATTGAATTATGACTGCTTTATTTTGAAATACAAAAACCAGGAGGGTTTAAAAATTTCCAAAAATTTTATAAATTTTCGATATTTGAAATCGTTTACGAGTCAAACAGGAAAATGCTTTTGGGAAAATAGTTTTTGTGAAACCTTTATAAGACTTTGTTATATGATTTTCACAATTTAAGCATATTGTGCGCTCAATAATAATTTTCTCTAAACTAAAAAATTAAAGTAATTCATATAATTGAATTAAATCTAGTTAATTGAAACCTAAAGGGCACAAATTTCTTCTCTTAAACATCTTCTATTTTGCCCAAAAAAAAAAATCAATTTTTTTGGATTTGAAGATATAAGTGCTCCAAATTGATTTTTAGTGAATAGACTTTTCAAAAATTTATTTTCCGATGTCACAACTCCCCTCTTATGATCTATTGTATACTTAACCACTTGCTTTATAACAATATTTTGTGAAATTATTTCACTATTTTGAAGCAGAGGGTAATTATTATGTAGTAATCAAAAACAAATTTAAAATTCATTATTAAAGCAGCGAAGAAAACGATATCATATTATAGATAAAACACGATTTGTTTCATAACTATCAATGATTTATTTTTAAATTGGTTCAAAACTAATAAATTTATCAACAAGGATTAGCACAATTTAACATTTTATTTACTTCTTTTGGTGTGTTTTTTAAGAAAATATAAGTGTGGATATTACTTTATGAAAGATTTATAAAATGATATATTTATATACATAACATACTATTTTGCAATGGAAGTATCATAAATATTGTCTTTCAATACAATATTTGAATATCATTTCCTCCATTAATATATATATATATTCTAGCTAATATTTATCTCTATATCCACTTTTTCTGAATTTATTATATATGATTTCTATTATATCAAAGTTCAATTAATAGCATAGACATAAAAGAATTAAAATTGTATCATCACATAAAAAACAATTCAATTTTTAGCATTCTTTTGTAAATAATCATCCAAAATGTTTGAAAGTTCAATAAAATACTATTTGCTTTAAGATGATATCAAAGTTATAGTGAAAAATGCTATATAATTGGTCGCAAAGTACAAAGAATAAATTAACAAATATCTATCGTAAGGTTTGAAGTAAATAGAAAAATTGAAAGTAAAACTTATGACAACACTCAACTATTTGATTTAATTTTATTGTAAAATTATTATTATTCAATTATCATAAATGATTTCTTAACATGAATTGGGAGAACTCGCATTTCTTTTCACCCATATACCAACTTTTATGCCATTTTTATAATCTCCAGTATAAATCTCCTAACAACTGTAACTATAGTCATCATCCAGCTCAATCCAATTTCCAATCTTTATCCCATTACCTCCTTCATCATATGATCCGCCACCACTAAAATTTACATTTATGTTAAATCTTACATGTAAAATTGATTTGCTTAAATATCCAATAAAAAAGTACCCCATCTTCCAATTTTTCTTTCATTTTTATACTCACCTTTATAAATTATTTATCTATCCTTTTTAAATTAATCGCATATCTCAATCCATTTCCCAATTTTATAACCATCACCTTTTTCATCGTATAATCTTTCCCCACTAATCATTTTTTATATAATAGTGTTACATTTTGATTTTTTTCTCATTTTCTCCATATCTATGATTAAAAATAACATCCCATAAGCCAACTTTTTAACCATATTAATACTTCCCTTTATAAGTTATTTATTTATCGATATTAAAACCATCGCATAATTCAATCCATTTTCCAATTTTACTCCCATCACCTTTATCATCATATGATCCACCTCCACTAGATAATTTACTGAAATTAATTACATCTTTTTCTTTCTCTCTTCATCTCCACACTTCTGAACAAAAAAAATATCCCATTTGCCAGCTTTTTACCCATTTTAATACTTGCCTTTATAAATTATTTATCTATTTTTATTGAAATCATCACATAACTCAATCCATTTCCCAATCTTAATGCCATCACCTTTTTGGTCATAACATCCACCTCCCCTAAATATGTTATTTTATATATGTTACGCGCATTCATTCCGGTTACTCTTTGAGTAAATGGTGATATTCCATTTACCAACTTTATGATCATTATTGTATTCACCTTAATTAGTGACATAAAATTAATCACAAAATTCATCATTTAACTCAATCCATTTTCCAATCTTTTTTTATTAGCCTTCCTCATCATATTGTCCACCACCACTAAGGTCAAACTAAATACAATATTTTACATCTCAATTCCAGATAATGCAGTATCCCATCTACCAACTTTTTTCCATTTTTATATTCACCTTTAAAAGTGACTAACCATTTAGAACAAAATTTAGCAGACAACTCAACCCATTTACCAATCTTAATGCAATATCCTCTTTCATCATATGATCCACCACCACTAATATAAATCTTTTTTGTGTCTTACATATACGATCCACCAAATTTCATAATCCAAACACCAACTTTGTTACTATTTTTATATTCACCCTAATAAATGAGTTAAAAATCATGGGAAAAATTATCATTCAGCTCAATCCATTATCCAATTTTGATGGCATCACCTCTATCATCATATAATCCGCCACCTCTAACCATTTATTATTAAAACAATTTACATCTAGTATTAAGATTTTGACAATTGATTGTCAAACCAAGTTTCCCACATATTAACCTTTTTCCCTCTTTTATATTCACCTTTATAAGTTATTTTTGCATATTTTTCATATCCATCGCTTATTTCAATCCATTTTCCAATTTTCATTGATTATCCGTCATCACTATATGATCCGCCCCCTCTAATTTTTTAATTATTAATATTTTTACATTTGATGTTAATTCCAATACAAATTCCAAAAACCAAATCTCTAACCCTCCTTATAGGATCCTTTTTCAATTATTTTCTATTTCCTAAAATAAATTTAATATTTATTAATACTCTCGATAATTTTCTTGTAAATCTATCCAATTTCCAACTTTTTACCCCAAATGATTGTACAAACCACCCCCGATATATTCACCTTTCCAAAAATAATCCCATTAATTAATTCTATAGCCATTCACTCCATATTGTCCTTTAAACTATAGATATTTAATTTATTCCAGATTTTTATATTCATATTCAAATTTTTATCCTAATTTATTCTTTTCTCTAAAAAATTTAACATTTAAAAATATACTATCTTAGAATTTATCCATCTTTATTATAAATTTTAGTTCCAGTATTTTCTGTTATAAGATGAACCTTTGTTTGTACTAATTGATTATTGACATCCTATAACCCTTCTAATGGAGTGATTCTATCTTTTATTTTATCTTTAGTGCCTAATTACTCGATACAGTTCTTCTAATTAATGGAAATTAAATCAACTAAATGACTTGTTTTGTATGCATTTTGAATCAGCTTTTCCAAATGTACTCCTGATCTCTTTACTTCTAAAGCTAAGGATTTTTTTTTTTTGTCCATTTTTCATAACTGTTTTCTTCCAAAAAGTTGTACAGAAATTCTAATTCCGATTAAGAGCATAGATAGGGATTAAGGTTATCATTAATGATTTCTTTAAATTTGTCATCACCTGTCTTTTGGATATTAGAAATACTCAAGATGGAATCAATTATGGTTGAGAAAATCATAGTGATTTCAACTTTTAATTGTTCGATTTGCTTAAGAACTTCTTTCAAGATTGATTCAGCTTCCCCTCGATCAAAATCATAATACTATCTTTTCTAAATTCTTAATATCTCTATAACAAAGTCGTTTTAGGATATAGTTGATTTAGAGGGTATTTAGAGGTTGGAAATGCACTCACTGCATACCTTTCTAAGAAACCCATATTTCTATTTTTCTCTATAAATTCCTTAAATCCTTTATTTTGGATGCTCCTAACAGTATACATGAGATGAAATCATTAAATAAATTTTAATCTTATGAAATCCAAGATTTATAATCGAATTATAAAAGAAAAAAGATTGATTAGAAATTTTATAGGAGTAAAATAATAATTAAAATGGATCAAATACTAGGATAATTTAAGTTAAAGATTAAATTAAGGTTAATATAAATAAAGGATGAAAGAAGAATGATTTAATTGATATATAACATCTTAAAGCATATTTCAGATTTTGAAAATATATAATTTAAACTTAGGTATAACTTTGTTATTAGGATTTTGGTTTTGCAAAAAAGTTTGAAAATTATTTAAACCCAGTCAACAAGATATCATCAATTGAGTATTAGCCTATTTTCCTCATTTTTTTCAAAAAATGGATCACTTAGCTAATAGAAATTTGCTTGCGATTCCATATATCTATTCTTGGATATGCTCTACGACACTCTACTCATTTGAGTTATAATCTATTATTAATAAACAATGTGAGGAGCTCTCTATTACATAATAAAACAGTTGTGAAACCAACACCCAATATCTAAATTAATGGAAAAATAACTATTTATAAGATACATGTTCAATTTCATTGAATGCATTCATAGATTTCAAATCTTTAAAATATTATGGTAAGTTTCTTGTTTTTGGTAAGAATTATCAATTTGCTTTCAAAACTTAATTATATTGATACACTTTCCAAACCCTCATGTAATGATCATTTTTATTAGTATTTGAGAGCGAGAGCGTTTGTAAGAAATAATGTGTAAATCCTATTGTTACTTTACTAAATAATTGGTAATTGTTCTATCATTTCTGGTCAGTATACTTGTAAAATGAAGATATTGATGAAGTGATCTTAACGACACTTAGATGGATTTTAAATAATAATAATAGTATACAATACACTTCAAATAATCTGAATTCTTAGATTTCAGAAATTGAAACTTGTTATTATTTCCTATAGTGGGATAGTTAAAACAATTTTTGACATAATATTATACACTAGCTTAATTTATTATGCAAAATTAATAATAATAAATAAAAATAAAAGATCAATTTTTCTTAATTATAAATTATAATAGAATTGAAATATAATTGGTGGATGATTGAGAAATCTTCATTATAAGCATACTCTAAAAATAATTGCATTAAATTGTGTAATTAAGTTAGGTATGAAACAATTTCATCCTTTTTTAGAATACAAGTAATTTTGGACATTAAAATAGGTTTTATTAACATCTAAGGAAATCAGAGGGATTAACAAATCAAATTTGGAGTGAAAGATATTACTATTTTACACTTTAAATTCTCTTTTCTTTAACAATTATTTGTCCTTATAATGTTTCTTAAGTAGGATAGAGTTAGTTCATCCAAAGGGCTGGAATTCCGATAGACAATTATCTAATAATAATTGCGCTCTAAGACCAATGATCTATTATACACATCATTTTCAATTTAGCTTATAAACATCTGCTTTCTTTCACCAACACAAGATTCTTATTGATTTTATTGTCAATTTGGACTTATATTGTTGCGCTATTGAATGTACTTATACCTTAATTGAAGACTACCACTCTTTGCGTTTGATTTGATATTTTATTTAGTCATTCCTTACATGGTTAAGGTATTTGATGCATAGAAATATTAAATTGAATTGATTATATATTTTCCTATTAAATTTTTTAATATCATCATTTTCTTTTGTAAATAAATTGTTATAAAGAAACATATTTTTGTTAGGAGAAATTCAGTTCCTTAAATGGACCATAGGAATTTTAAGATTAAAATTCATAAGTAATCTTCTCATGCTAAATTATATAATTAACTCAAGGATGACAATACTATTTAGGCAATTCAACGAATAACCAATTCAAAACCAAATTAGCTATATTAAAAGTGATAATCTCCTCAATAAATAATTTTTTTTTTTCTACAAATTTCTTTCTGATATATTTACTTATTTCCATTCAAATTAGTTGAATAGGTATGAACACAAATACTTACAAATTCCCTAAAATGATATATGAAACAATGAACTATCAGTCAATATAACAAACTGTCTGTCGAATATTAATTGAAAAACATTAAAAATTGATAGTTAATAGGAATGATTTAGGTCAGACCTAATCATGCCATTGATTGTTCAAACTTTTTTTAATCTTTAAGCTCGTTTATTTTTACATAAAAATAAAAGGGCTGCATCAATCAAAACTATCACAAGCAAAATAGCTATAATCTCCCCAAGAAAAGATGACAATATAAATAAGTCTCCACTGGCATTCACCTTCATACCAAAAGCGCAAACTTCACAATAATACTCTATTCCATATTTTATAAAGTTTAAAAGTTGCTGATAACCTTGCAGCAATAGCTTTTAATAGCAACTAGAAATGATAAACAAAATTAATGATTTCAAAAAGCAGAAATTCAAAAAGGATATAGACCTTTTAAGATTGAGAAGTTGTAATAAAAATTGATTTAACAAAGTTAATCCATTTATATGATAGAAATGATTTTTGTTTTTTAACCCAAATAATAATAATTAGTTTTTTAATGAGTATATCTTTATTTCTAATTCAGATATGTAAAATTTAGAAATAATCATAATAAGTGGATCTTTTAGAAAAAGATTTCATTTAAATCCTATTCCTCTATAGTATATAAAGACATTGTTTATGCTTCTTTTAAAAAATATAAGTCAAATAAAAATAATATAATTATAATTAATGAAAAATTGAATAACTGTCGAACTGCTCATAAATAAAATTATTTTAAGATATTTGAAACACAATAGATATTAAGTTAAGTTGAGAATTAAAATAGAGCCTAATAGTAAATGAATATATTAATATTTTATTTAAATCCAAAATTTAATTCAATTGTTATTTAAGCCAAATATTTTATTTAAATGACCTAGTTTGTATATATTTTTCGTTATTTTTTCTTCGATCATAAATAATTGAATCGTGAACTAACAACTGTTATGAGCTTTGACAATTAACTAAATAATTTCACAAATGATTCCACTGGCCCTAGCTAGGTTTTAAGCCAATTCAACAGGTATTTATAAAATAGGTGTAAGTTTTTATAATTAAGACTATTTTATATCACTTATCTTCATTTATTCAAGCCTACAGACTAATTCAACGGGGTTTGATAACATTACTTTTATTGATTTAAAAACATCTTTTGGATCCTTAGGTTTAATATTTAATAATATCATTAAGTATTCAAAGATGTACAGTACGATTAATGGTGGATTGCAATATGCTCTCACTTCTAACAAATTTGCTAAGTCAAGCCTGCAAATTAATTTTTGTATTTGATAATCAAAATGACCAAATTCTTTGATATTTTATTCATAATTTTCATTCCTTCTCCTCTCTTCCAATTCTGATTAAAAATATTATATTTATGATTTGATTGAGTAAACCTTTAGAACTGAAATATATTAAATTCTTCGATTCATATAGTGATTAATTAATCGCAATTATAGATATTGATCATATGTTAAAAATTCACTAATCAGAAAGATAATTTCAGGCTAAAGTTTTTCAAACTTAGAAATCGAATTCTAATCTAATTTATAAATACATGATCTTATTTTCCAATATTGATTTCTGTAGATTAAGGATTTTTCATCATAATTTAAGGGACTTATTCTATTTAAAATGGCTTCTTATTTATGTTTTGCATAGTAAAATAATAATATAATTTATATTTAATTTTATTATCACTCAAACTATTATGTATTGAATATTTTCATCAATAAGATGGAACATATAATAATAAAGGCTGAAATTCTGAAAACTCCCTAAATTGCAGACCAAAACCATTAAGTGATAGTAAATTATATGGAAAATATAAATGTGTGATCTTAGCGAAAACTATATTTCTAGGGCCTCATTGTAAACATATGTTGGATTTTATATAAAGAGCCTTTATTTGCTACATAATGATTAAACAATATAAGATGAGTTATTATAGGGATATAAATTGGAATATTTTATAAATAAGGGGGACGGTATATGGAATTATAGTTTTGTAAGTATCTCCTTAGAAGGTGGGTAAGCAAAAAAAATGGAGACTACAGCTTGTTAAATACAGTATTTTACAATTATTGATAAAATAATAAACAATCTACAACTTCCTACAAGTTGAACTCAGATTTTATAAAGGAGTCAAAGTATATTGATTTCTCATTTTTAATCGAATAGACAGTTGGATGTCTTGAATACATTTCAGCTTTATTCACTTTTTGATAGTTATATGATACCTTAATACTTAAATTATTTAGATGTAGTTCAAATTGAAGATTTTATAATAGCAGAATGGTCATCTTTACTTTCTTTTTGATCATTTTAGAATGCGTCCTATTCTACTTTCTATTTTTTTCCACATTTGAATGTCCTATACTTTATTTCAAATAATGATATAACTTAGTTAAGGAAATCTATTGGTTGAATGAATAATCTTAAAATAATTATTATTTGATTTGTTTTCTTCAGATCAGTAATATTAACCAGCTGAATAAGTTAATGCTAAACTTGTTAAAAACATAATTGCGATTGATGTTAACGTTCCTAAAGAAGAGTTTCTTCTCATAAAAATTTGGTAGTCAACAAATTTATCATCTATATTTAGAAATAAAAATATGAGGAAGAATGCATATTTGAATAAATTAAATTGACTCATTATTTTTATGAGGTTTTGTATCTTTGAAGTTAAAATCTTAAAGAGATCTCTTTACTGTCTGCAGCTATATTTCTAAAAGGAAATAAAATAATCAATTGTTTCTTTAATTTAAAGGTGACTATAGGTCAATAAACTTAATTTCTAATATAATCTTTATGATTTATTAATTAAAATTGGATGATGATATAATTTGGGATACTCAAATTTTTGATCTAATAGTAATTTAGTGCAATCTTTTAGTAAAAACTATTTGACTTAATAAATTCTATCAAAATAAATTAATAATTATGGCTCATTCTGCTAATCTGTAAATTAAGTGGATAACCTTGAAATTTGAGATGATAATTCTAATTTGTTAATAGTTCATTGTTTTCAAAATATTATAAATTGTGATTTAAAAATGAATAAATGAATGTAATGAATTCTATTAATTATAAATTAAGATAAAAATGGAGGTTTTTAAGTGCAAATATCTGTAACATGAAAATGAAGAAATAATGGGATTTTGCTTAAATTAGATTTGTTAGAAAGCAAATTAATTTTGTTATTTATGCTTGACCTAGAATCATTATGATCATTAAAAAGATTGTATCAGATTTAATACAATGAGCCAATATATTAATTAATAGCTCAAAGTTAGTAAAGAATAAGAGGCATAAATGAAAGAAATGATAGATCAAATGAGGACTTATTTGGAAGAGATCTACAAACAAAGGAAACAATAATCTAGAGTATTAGAAATTATGAATCAGAGACTTTAAAAACAAGGAGTACAATACATTTAAGTATCAAATACCAGTATTCAAATAGTTTTACTCAAAGGAAATTGGAAATAAAACATGTATTTATTTGAAAAATTTTAATAGAATAATTGGTAATAGAATTACAGTAAATTCTCAACACAATCAAAAATGTGGGTCAAGTTTAAACCAAGATCAATAATCAACTGATAATTGCCAAAGACAATTATGATGTGTAAATGGAGTTGAAAAAGGTAGAAGCAAGTAAATTATTTGATTAAGGTAAAATTATGTAAAGAATGAAATAGGCACAGAATTAGTCAAAAGTCACAAATTTAGGGAAGCTTTGAAAATATTTGATGACTCAATCAAATTATTTGATTTAGATTACCTTGTTTACACATGGAAAGGTAATATTAAGTCTTTATAATTAAGCTAAGACATTAAATTAACTAAAACAGTATGAATAGGCTATTTAATGCTGCAACAAGTCTATCACTTTAAATCCAAATTACGTTAGTGCGTGGAATAATAAGGGTAATGAATTTAAAAATCTCTAAGGTTTCGCACTAGACAATTTAAACAAATATGAAGATGCTATTAAGTGTTACAACAAAGCTCTTACTTTAAATCCTAAGAACGATACTTCATGGACTAATAAGGGTAATGATTTGTAAATTATTTTATTTAGGTCACACGTTAAACAATTTAGCACAGTATAATGAGGCTATATAATGTTTCGATTAGGCTATTACTATATATCCTAACAGTTTTTATGCATTTAAAAATAAAGGTAATAAACATTTTAATGCAGGTTTGGCACTACACAATTTACAGTAGTATTAGAATGCAATAATGTGTTATTAAAAGGCAATATATATTTTTAATGATCCCTTGATATTGGAACTCATGAGTATTAATATATAATTATCTTAAGCTGATTCACTATTTCAACTTGGTTTAAAAGATCAAGCTAAATTGTCCTATTTGGATGCTTAGCAACTTCGATCAATAAAAAAAGAATATCATTAAAAGTAATTATTAAAGATTTGAATACTCATATATTTTATATATTTTAAACTTATATATTTTTTAGCCTTTCATCATCAAAATCAGTATCTCTTGTTTTATGAGATGAATGAAAATCAAAAGTTAAATTATTTGAGTATTCGAAATTTTTCCTTATTAAAATAAAATAAAAAATTAAAGAAGTAATCTAATAAAGCTCTCGTAATCATTTGTTAAATTAAAATATTATAAGTCTGTTTGATATTTATTCATTAAAAAAAATAATGTTACATCTGTTTATAAGGTAAAATAATTTATCATAATAATAAATTAAAAAAAGAGTCGTTGGACAATTTATCTGCTCATCGCCAAACTATAATAATCATATATTAGTTCAGTTGATTTGCTATTTTTATTTAGTCTTTAGTTTAGTCACATGATATGTTTGTCATATTGGATTTGTTTCTTTATAAATATCACAACTCTGTGATTTGTAATTGATTATATTTGATTATAATAATGGCTTTCATAATTCACTTTTAGAAGCTCTTATTTATTGTTATTTATCATTTTAATTTTAAGATCTTATTCCTTAAGCCAATCTCATTAACAAACTTCATCATTTTATTTATCTATTGACTTAATGTATTAAATTAACCATTAAGAATTTCTATCTCTTATAGTGTAGATTGATAAGTTTGAGGATTTATTTGTTTAGTAAGCGAATATTTCATAAGGTGCTTCTAAATCACTTTCAAAAGAGAAATCAAACATCAATTCAAATTCAGTCTGAAGAGATGAATTATCCAGTATCTATTAATATTAGTTCCGCTGATAAAGCGCTGAAAGTAACTTAGGTAATATACTGGTCTTATTATTATCAACTTTTCTAACTTATATGCATTGCTTCTTAATAAATTCCTACTTGGTAGTTGTAAATTAATATCATTATTGGTGAAGTTATCATTATATTGACAAAAAAAATTTGGAATAAAATGACCTCAAGTATAAATTGGTGATTGGCTCTAAAATTTGTATTTTCAGATCAAATTCTGTTTACACTTAATTCATTATAATATCTTTTTTAACTTAACTTTTGATTTAGTTTTAAGCTTTTTATTTATTCTTCTTTATTTTAGATCATATTCATTTTATTCCTCTATTAGTTTTGTATAATAATTAATTTTCATCCTCAGAGTTTTTTAGCTTTTACATCAAATCCTTCTCAAATTCTTTAAACTTATAATTGTTTTATTTTAATCTTCAATCTTCACCTTAAAATTTTCATAACCTTTTTACAAAACATCTAACTTGTTCTCTAAGTTCTCAATTTCTTAAAATTTCTTCAGTTATTGAAAATTATTTTGAAATCTATCATTATAGTCATGAACATATTTTTTGTCTTAAAAAATTTTGAATTTTTTCATCAAATAAACCCAAATAGCAATAAATTTGCTTAGAAGTATATAATTATTCTTCTAATTCTTGTTTTCACATCAAATATTCTTAATTTTCTTTCAAGTAAGGTAATTACGTGAATTTGATTTTCATCTTGTAAAATATTTAAAGACTCTTAGATGTCTAGTTAATTATACTATTTCAAATGCTCTAATTTGCTTCGATATTTAATTTTTGAATCTTATTCTAGATTTTCTTCATCATACTGAATAATTTCGGTAATATTTGAAACTAGTTCATCATGTTTTAATCCTTGTATAGAAGTTTACTTAAATTTACAAATATCAACTGTTTAAGTTATTGGTGTAGAAAATACTTTCATCAACTTTTCATTAATTATATTAAGTTAAATATGTTTTATTCTCATCATTTTAGAGACCCCTGACATTTAACTATACTGTAAAATTTAAAATTTCATAAGTGTTATTTATGGAATACAGACTTCCTATTAGAATTAAGTGATAATTTTGCTAATTCTAGTAAGAGTTGAATTTTAATTGAGGAGTCTCTATCGAATAAGTTAAAATTTGAGTATCACCAATAATAAATAACTCATATTTATTATAATTGGACTTAAGTAGATTAGGACTTGAAAGTAATTGCTCCGATTAATTTAAATTTAAGGTTGATATTTTCATAAATCTGTATTAGATCAAATAATTATACTATTAAGAACTAATTACTTAAGAAGGATTGGAATAAAGGATTCAAATTATCCCAAAGGCTGCTTATTTATTTTGTTTCTTAAACTGTTTAATTACATATTATTGAATAATAGATCGTGATTCGGCCCACTAATAACGTATTATATTCTTAAAATACTCTTTATGGGTTGAATAATTAAACTGCCACAATTTAATTTAAAATGATAACTATTTGTTAAGTTCTACCCTTATTAAGTTAATTTACTAGATGTAAAGTTTAATCATCCCATAAGTAAATTGTATTTTGAGATTGCAATCTATTTGAAACTATAAAGTTTATAAATGATAATTTCCAGTTGGATATATTGAATAATAAATAGTGATCAAATTGAAACTAAGTTAAAATTTAATCGTCATCATAGTACTAAGCATAAAGAATAGAGTAAATTTAATTACTAGTAAATGATTGCGTTCTTTTTTTTTGGTATTTATTGAACTATTGTGGAGTAAGCAACAGTCCAAAATTCTCCTGATTTACATACATATTTAAGTAGGTCAAATTGTAGCAGTCAACTATTATAGAATTCTCTTAAAATAATAAAGCATTCAAACAAGTTTCTTGTGAGAAATCCACTATGAGATCCATATATGAAGAATTCCATTAATATATATTTAATTTATTCACTTTAGTAATTAGTAAGTAGAATGGGGTGTGGCGAATATTGAAATAAAAGTTTAATCTAAATAAGAAATATCATTACACTGTTATTCTATTCTGATAATATAATTAAGGCTTTAAGTAATTGAACATTTTCAGGGTTATCTTGAATGGTGAAATTTAATAATTATTATTAAAATAATTCTTTCAGAATAAGTCTTTCCTTAGGTCAGGTACACCTTGTAAGATGGATACAATCCCTAGCCTTGTTATACTATGAATAGAGATAATAAAAAGATCATTAATAATAATTAAATAAAATCAATTATAAGATGATTAGCCTTGAGTCTTAATGCGGATTAGCTATGAAACCTTAGCGATTCTCTATTAGTTAAAGAAATAGGAAACTATTCATTTCTTGCTATAACTTAAGTATATTGTATAAGAAAATAGATTTAATAAAATAGCAAATAATATTATGATAATCAAATATGTGTATATTAATAAACATAGGATCATTATTAATAATTTTAAAAAGTAATAAAATTTATAGGATTAATGGTTGAGAATAAGTTCTTAACAGCAATAAACTGGAATTTTTTAAATCAGAATTAATTCTCAATAAAATACCAATCCAGTCATTTACTCTTAAAATATTTCATTATTTGAGCAAGATTAGTATTTGTAATACTTATCTGAAACGCTAAAAGTGAGGAGTTAAATTACAGCCAAAAAATAGAAAGAAGAAAATATAATTTAAATTTATCCCCTAAAGATTTTGAATTCTAAGATTCAAAATCAAATATCAACGAATACTACTAAATTAATATCACTTATCAAAATAATAGTTTTATTGCCGTGACTCATTTAAAAAAATGGAAAGAGAAAATTAATCTTTTTTCAATTATTTGATATCCACTAAAAATTTTACTTTGACATCCCTCTTGTTTAAATAATCTGGATTTATCTAAACAATTTATTTTCCTTCACTCAACCAGATAACAATAATATGCAATAAAAGTACTAAATTGTATTAAAGATAAGTTATTACTCTCCCTATATACATTCTTCAATAAAGGTGAATCTACTATATGTAATTATGGTAGCAATATTTAATTAAAAAATTATAATCAGATTATCCAGGCTTATTAAAAAGCATTTTTGACTTAGTTTTAGATTCTGCCTTTTAGAGGATCATTTATGGACTCTTTTATCGCTTCTAATCTACACTTTCAACTGATAACTTATTCTCTATTACTAATGTTTTAGATAATTTCATCAAATTAAATTATAATTGAATATGGCTAAATATATATAGTTTTTTGATAAAAAATGTTGGACTAGCATTTATTCACACAACATATACAAAAAGTTAGGAATCTTATTGTCCTAAAGTGATCTTGACAATCCTAAAAATATGTTTAAATTATTTTTGTAATAGATTTTAATTTTCTTAATAAACTGAATTTTGAAAACCAAAATTTATTGATAAATCTTGTTTATCAAACTATGAAGGAAATCTGTCAATTTATCTCGAGTGTTTACATATTTCCTGACAAATTTATTGATTTTATCTTGAACCAATCCCTTAATTCTAGAACTCTTTGCATATTAACAGGTTATCATGGTCTCAATGAATTTATTATAAAATGAAATGTTGATTACCCTAATCTTACTATTTGATTTATAATATTCTAATTATTTGTTTAGTCTAATCAAGGTCAACTTTTAACATGAGTAAAGTTTCTTATTTTTTACTTTATTTCAGGATGAGTACAAACTATTTTTATTAATACTTATATATAAATATTATAAATAGATTCAGATATTCTAGTAAGTTCTCCACAATCTTTTAAGTGAATTGTGTAATAGTCATAGTTTAATTAAGTGTTTGATAGTGTAAAAAAGAGATATTATCTAAATTGATTTTCTTTACTAAATTTGCTTAAAATATAAAATTTATATCACAAATGATAATAAAGGATAAATATTAATCAAAACAATAACTGATATATTTCACATTCTTTAATTTCTGGTTATATTTATCCATATAAATAAGGTTCGTTATTACCTTACTAATAATACTAAAATTAATATGAACCACCTAATCTAGAATATCCTTAAGTAAAATCTCCATCTATGAAAAGATCATCCCCACCACCAATTAGAGGTCCATAGCTTGAATTTAAACCTATAGCTTGTTACTTCTTATCCTACTTTAGAGGATAAACTTGATCATGGGTTTATGAAAATATAAAAGATGATAATGTATTATCCTCTACCCATACTCCATTTTTTGATTCCCATGTACAAGGAGAATATGTTCCAAAGATATAATTACTTTTGGATTAAAATATCATAAGCAAATTTGATCTTCCATTAACTTTATACCAATATTATTTTGCATTTAATCCATCTTTTGATCCTTAATAGATTAAAATTGAATTTCTGATATTTCTATTCATTTTTGCCTATAAAATATAAAATAATTTATGCCAGTAATCATCTCGAAGTAAAGTTGGTTTTAACTACAAAATCGGATCAATGAATTGTCTTTTAAGTTCTAATTCCTTTATAATTTTATTTATTAGTAGATCATTTTAGGCAATTTTTACATTTTACTAAATTTATATATTATCGAAGGTGTTTTCATTTAATTTTTACTATTATATGGTAGTGTTATTTTTTTTCTCTTTCTAGTTTATATTTTACAATAGCATATCTTTGTGTGGCATTAATCCAACTTTAACATTTTCTATTACTTCGTTTATTTTTTATTTAGCCACTTTAAAAGTTACTAGAGCTTAGAAATATTCTTAATTATTCAGAAAGAGCTCAAATTACTCCTCAATTTCTTCAATTAAATGGATATCCTGCTAAAATTTTAATTGCTTTTCCCTAATATCTATTTAAAAAAATTCAGCCAAAGATGAAATATCCTTTTATAAAGTTTGTTCGACTTTGAATTACTCTAAAAAAGATTAGTGCTCCTGTTGAATAGTACAAATTTGAGCTTGTATTTGAAAATGGATCTTATCGAATGTAGCCTCAACATTACGTTTCGTTTTAACTCCATTATTTAATAAAGTATGTTCTTGAAGTAATCTAATCTTATTTAAGTCTCTTAAATCTTATTTTACTTTTTTTAGGTTTTTAGAGATGATATTCTATCTATTATTTCTTCAATTGCTTATATTTTATCATCATTCATTTTTTCAACTAAGCATTTACAACATAAATATTAAATTTAGCCAATTTGTAAACTGTCAAGATTCATGGCTATTATATCACGTTAATGATTTTGGCATATTATTTTTTGAATTTCAGTTTGCATTAGGGAGTAATTATATTTATTATTTTGTAATTAATTTACTATTTTCCGTTTAAACAGATTAATTTAGAATTCTATTAATTAAATTTATGAACATTTATACAATTATTTGAGAATGCTGTATTAATAAAAAACACATTATGATATCTGATAAGATAGCTAAATCATATCAAGTAATTATATTATTTTGAGATATATTATCACAAACTCTATGTTTTCAAAGCAATCTTTAAAGACTGCTATTACTTGACTTACTATTATTTAAATTAGCAAGGTATAAATTATATCATTTGACTAAAATTTAAATATGATTTAATGGATTTACCTTTAAGAAGGTTATTTATTCCCTTTAATATTAATACAATATTTAATTTAAGAAACCTTATTATTTTAACTGTGTTCTGAATTATTAATTATGATTATCAGATTCAATTAAATATAAAATAGAATAGGCTGTGATTTGAAATTAATTTCAATAAAATATGTCAAATCATTTAGTTTTGGTAGGATATTTAAAAAGAAAAATCAGTATTACCTTCTTATTCCTATTACATGACATAATTATAATCTAATATATCATCCAATTTAGTAAACTTATTCAATCAGCATCCCTAGATAGAGCAGGCTTCTTAGTTCAACCATCTTCTAAGAATCAGTATCCTATATTAGTTTTTGAATAAATAGTTATTATTTTGGCTTTTTCATGTTTAAAACATAAATTTGGAATGGAATGATTTAATACTTTTCCAATAAAATTCAATCTGCTTAATTGTTTTACAGAGTTTCTCTTTACTCAGACAATTATTTTCTAAGTCAAAACAGGAATATTATTTTTACTCTTGCCTTTTAAAAATATAAATGTAGAACCTATTCCATAAATATAAACAGCTTTACAAATCCTGAAAAACGTCATCTTGTAAATCATTTTCTATCAACTCTATTCATCTCTTATCTGCCAAATATCTCGATTATATTCTATGATAAGCATTAAGCTAAAGCACTTATGCGAGCCTCTTACTATCATTACGATTGCTCAGAAAAGCATAATTGGTCTATATTTCTTTCAAATGCTGTCTAGAAAATTTATAAACTCTCATTAGAAAGAAAAGTCAATGGTTAAGCTGAAGCTACAATTATTATATGTTATACCCATAAAGTCAGATATTAAACTAATTCAAATACTCCCCATCATTACCTTATTAAGTATGTAATAAGCCTAAATTGTATTTAAATCAAGTTTGTCAGGTCGAATTAATATTTGAGAATAATATGAATTATATTAACCAAAATTATAATAAAAAAATTATTATTATCGATCAAATCAAAACTTCAAATTTGAAAAAGATTTTATTAGAAATAAATATTAATCATTTTTATTAATTATCTTTTCCTTCTGTTTGACTTATAAAATATTATATTTTAATGATAATTCATTTGAAAAGTAGATTTGAGAATCTTATACATACTCAGGTTTTAATTAAGAAAGAAGCTTAAAACAACAAAATCAAAATTTTATCATCTTCACTTTATGAAGAAATAATTTATTTTAGTAATGGCTCCAACCATTCAGAAATAGGAACACTAAAATAGATTCTTCAATCAAGTTAAAAAAGTCTACGCTATTTAAAGGAAATAATGAATGTTTAAATATATTAGAGCTTTACAGTGTTTTTGCTTACTTATTTTTGGATTTTCTATATTACTTTACAATGATTTTGGAATTACTAATTTGATACTTCAAATCGTAATAAGGCAACTTAAATCTAACTCTAAATATTTTGTAGATTTGATATAATATTAAACTTTTAAGTTATTAAGATCAAGACAGTTTTAATACACTATGGATTTCAATTAAATTTTAATTCAAATATTTCACATTCGGTAATATTTGGTATTTCTTATCCAAATATATGAGTAGACTTCATACTCTCTTATTTAACCCATTGGTATGAATGACCTAAATAAGAATAACCATCCTTAAAATCTGAATTTATATATATATCACGACCACCTCCAAAACTAGGCCCTTATCCTGAATTACAATAAATAGCATGTTTTTCACTACCTTATTTCAAAGGGTATATTTTATCATGTGTTTATGAGAATATGAATGATGATAATGTATCATCTTAAACATAACGACCATCTTTATTCTATTACCATTGACATGGAGAATATCCACCAAAGATAAACCCACTTTAAGATTAAAATATCATGAGTAGATTACATTTACCATTACATTTATTCCAAAATGAATTATTATTCAACCCATCGCTGGTTCCTTAAAATATTAATTGAGATTCTTTTATTGTTTTTTTTGATTTTTCTTATAAAATAAAAAATAATTTTATCCAATAGTCAACTTTTAATATTTTTGTTTTTATCTAAAACTTTAAGTCTAGAATATAATTCGGTTTGAATTTTATTTATTTACTCGTTCAGTGATTTAATTTCATTATCATGCTTAATCTATTAGTCATTTAATTTTAATTGAAATTTCTCATTCTTAGAATTTTCCTCTTTCAACATTTCTTTTAATAAGTTCTCTTCTTTTACTTTATTTTTCAGTTTATCTTCAGTGTTTCTTAAAAGGTTTTCAAGCTCCTGGATAATGTTATTCTACTCCTAGATTTTCAATTTATAATCCTTCTCAATTGATTCCAAATATTGGTTTCCTAATTTATTGAAAATTGTTCATACTCTCTAATTATAATTTCTCATAGTCCTATTATAGTGTTTCAAAATTTTTCTCGAGTTTTCCTATTTCACAAAACTTCATAAACTAACTAAAGTCTTTTTCAAATTTATTCTTATATTCATTGATTTACTTTTATATGTTTGTAAAAACTAAATTATCTGGACTTTATTGCATTTTACTCTCAAACGTTTTTATTTTTGAAAGGTGTTCTTAAAATTTCTGTATTGATTCATTTAGTAAGCTCTTTTAACAATATATATATTTTGAAGAATTTATGAGTTCATCTAAATCTTCTTTGTAGATTAATGATACTTAATTTGTTTTTGTACTCTCATAAATTTATTATTATAATTACACAATTCCTTGGATTTGGTTGTCGTCTAAAAATAAAATTGTTTGAATACTTTATATGTCCTGTAAAATATTAATAGATTCTTAAATATCTAATTACTCATGTTATTTTAAATGCTCTAATCTGCTTTAGATCTCTTTTTAAAATAGAGTGTCTTTGGATTTCAAATATTCAATCTTTGAATCTTATACCATATTTTCTTAATCATTTTAAAGAATTTAATTAATATTTGAAAGTAATTCCTCATTACTTAATTATTGTAGAGAGGTTTATTTAATTTTATTAATCTCAATGGGCTTGCTTGTTGGTGGTAGAGAAAATTCTGTTATTAATTTTTCACTGATTTCATTAAGTTATTAGTTGTAATTTTTTCTCATTATTGCAATCTATTAGTTTAGTTTTTCCTATTTTTCTTGCCTTTTAATTTTTAGCTCAGAAAGTAGTCTATCCTACTGCTTCTTTGTATGATTCCATTGCTAATTAATTTTCTCAATGGTTCTATATTAACAATTGGGATGATCACTAATGCAATCAACGCAGACAAATCTCTCTTCTATTTTTTTATTTTTACTATCTATATCAATCATGATAATTTCCTTATCATGAGTAGGGAAAATTTTGNGACATGGAGAATATCCACCAAAGATAAACCCACTTTAAGATTAAAATATCATGAGTAGATTACATTTACCATTACATTTATTCCAAAATGAATTATTATTCAACCCATCGCTGGTTCCTTAAAATATTAATTGAGATTCTTTTATTGTTTTTTTTGATTTTTCTTATAAAATAAAAAATAATTTTATCCAATAGTCAACTTTTAATATTTTTGTTTTTATCTAAAACTTTAAGTCTAGAATATAATTCGGTTTGAATTTTATTTATTTACTCGTTCAGTGATTTAATTTCATTATCATGCTTAATCTATTAGTCATTTAATTTTAATTGAAATTTCTCATTCTTAGAATTTTCCTCTTTCAACATTTCTTTTAATAAGTTCTCTTCTTTTACTTTATTTTTCAGTTTATCTTCAGTGTTTCTTAAAAGGTTTTCAAGCTCCTGGATAATGTTATTCTACTCCTAGATTTTCAATTTATAATCCTTCTCAATTGATTCCAAATATTGGTTTCCTAATTTATTGAAAATTGTTCATACTCTCTAATTATAATTTCTCATAGTCCTATTATAGTGTTTCAAAATTTTTCTCGAGTTTTCCTATTTCACAAAACTTCATAAACTAACTAAAGTCTTTTTCAAATTTATTCTTATATTCATTGATTTACTTTTATATGTTTGTAAAAACTAAATTATCTGGACTTTATTGCATTTTACTCTCAAACGTTTTTATTTTTGAAAGGTGTTCTTAAAATTTCTGTATTGATTCATTTAGTAAGCTCTTTTAACAATATATATATTTTGAAGAATTTATGAGTTCATCTAAATCTTCTTTGTAGATTAATGATACTTAATTTGTTTTTGTACTCTCATAAATTTATTATTATAATTACACAATTCCTTGGATTTGGTTGTCGTCTAAAAATAAAATTGTTTGAATACTTTATATGTCCTGTAAAATATTAATAGATTCTTAAATATCTAATTACTCATGTTATTTTAAATGCTCTAATCTGCTTTAGATCTCTTTTTAAAATAGAGTGTCTTTGGATTTCAAATATTCAATCTTTGAATCTTATACCATATTTTCTTAATCATTTTAAAGAATTTAATTAATATTTGAAAGTAATTCCTCATTACTTAATTATTGTAGAGAGGTTTATTTAATTTTATTAATCTCAATGGGCTTGCTTGTTGGTGGTAGAGAAAATTCTGTTATTAATTTTTCACTGATTTCATTAAGTTATTAGTTGTAATTTTTTCTCATTATTGCAATCTATTAGTTTAGTTTTTCCTATTTTTCTTGCCTTTTAATTTTTAGCTCAGAAAGTAGTCTATCCTACTGCTTCTTTGTATGATTCCATTGCTAATTAATTTTCTCAATGGTTCTATATTAACAATTGGGATGATCACTAATGCAATCAACGCAGACAAATCTCTCTTCTATTTTTTTATTTTTACTATCTATATCAATCATGATAATTTCCTTATCATGAGTAGGGAAAATTTTGTTTAAACTTTGGGTTTTCTTGTATATTGATAACATTTTACTTAGTTATTTTTATTTTGTAATAATATTAATTCAATCTAGTTATTTTCATTAATTTCACTAATTTTCTATTTGGCATCCTTAAAAGTGTCAATAGTTTAGAAATATGCAGCGCTACTAAATATAAGGTCAAATTATTTAACAATTTCATTGATAAATTACCCATCCTATGAGATTTCTAATTATTTTTCTTAAGTCTCTGTTGAGAGAAATTCCGATAAAGATTTAACTTCCTCTTAGAAATTATATTACATTAAACAATTATCTAATAAAGATTATTTTTCTTTTGAAATTGTAAATATTTGGGCTTTTATTTGACTATAGATTTTTTCCAAAGTATTCTCAACATTACATTTAAACTCCATTATTTAATCTAGTATGGTTTTGAAGAGATCCAATCTCACTTGGATCTCTTTAATCTTATTTTCTTATCTTTATGTCTTTAGAGATTATATTCTATCCTTTGTCTATTCAATTNTATCTGGACTTTATTGCATTTTACTCTCAAACGTTTTTATTTTTGAAAGGTGTTCTTAAAATTTCTGTATTGATTCATTTAGTAAGCTCTTTTAACAATATATATATTTTGAAGAATTTATGAGTTCATCTAAATCTTCTTTGTAGATTAATGATACTTAATTTGTTTTTGTACTCTCATAAATTTATTATTATAATTACACAATTCCTTGGATTTGGTTGTCGTCTAAAAATAAAATTGTTTGAATACTTTATATGTCCTGTAAAATATTAATAGATTCTTAAATATCTAATTACTCATGTTATTTTAAATGCTCTAATCTGCTTTAGATCTCTTTTTAAAATAGAGTGTCTTTGGATTTCAAATATTCAATCTTTGAATCTTATACCATATTTTCTTAATCATTTTAAAGAATTTAATTAATATTTGAAAGTAATTCCTCATTACTTAATTATTGTAGAGAGGTTTATTTAATTTTATTAATCTCAATGGGCTTGCTTGTTGGTGGTAGAGAAAATTCTGTTATTAATTTTTCACTGATTTCATTAAGTTATTAGTTGTAATTTTTTCTCATTATTGCAATCTATTAGTTTAGTTTTTCCTATTTTTCTTGCCTTTTAATTTTTAGCTCAGAAAGTAGTCTATCCTACTGCTTCTTTGTATGATTCCATTGCTAATTAATTTTCTCAATGGTTCTATATTAACAATTGGGATGATCACTAATGCAATCAACGCAGACAAATCTCTCTTCTATTTTTTTATTTTTACTATCTATATCAATCATGATAATTTCCTTATCATGAGTAGGGAAAATTTTGTTTAAACTTTGGGTTTTCTTGTATATTGATAACATTTTACTTAGTTATTTTTATTTTGTAATAATATTAATTCAATCTAGTTATTTTCATTAATTTCACTAATTTTCTATTTGGCATCCTTAAAAGTGTCAATAGTTTAGAAATATGCAGCGCTACTAAATATAAGGTCAAATTATTTAACAATTTCATTGATAAATTACCCATCCTATGAGATTTCTAATTATTTTTCTTAAGTCTCTGTTGAGAGAAATTCCGATAAAGATTTAACTTCCTCTTAGAAATTATATTACATTAAACAATTATCTAATAAAGATTATTTTTCTTTTGAAATTGTAAATATTTGGGCTTTTATTTGACTATAGATTTTTTCCAAAGTATTCTCAACATTACATTTAAACTCCATTATTTAATCTAGTATGGTTTTGAAGAGATCCAATCTCACTTGGATCTCTTTAATCTTATTTTCTTATCTTTATGTCTTTAGAGATTATATTCTATCCTTTGTCTATTCAATTGTTGATATCTTGTTACTATTCATTTTCTCTACTAAGCAATTGCAACACAAGTATTAAAAACTACCTTTTTCTTATGTATCTAGATCTACAGCGACTATCTCTCGCTTATGTATTTGACAAACCATTTCTTAGATCTCTGCCTTTTATTGTTGTATTTATGATGTTATAATATTCATTTTTATTTTTAATAATTAAATAAATAATGCCATATCTTATCCTATACTCATTAAGAGTAAATGTAATTCTATTAATATAAATTATTTATAATAATTAAAATTAAAATTATGTACAGCAAAATACAATACATATGAAAATAATTTTCAAAAGCAACCACTAATCAATATATATCAAGAATTTTTTGAAAAAATCGATTGTTATTGATCAAACAGTTCAAAAGAATGATTGAAGTTTTCTTAATAGAAAATATTTCACAAACTTATTTTATTTTTAACACTTTATTAAATGAAACTGATAAAGTATTGGTACCTAAACTGATTCAACTACTTGTTTGTTTAATATAGACAAATTCAGGTTGTAAAAATTGTAGAATATTAAAATGAACATAGTTGAAGGACTATTTAGAAACATTAATTAAAATTTTCACTTTAATATATGAATTAATTTTTTTCGATATAATAAAATTTAAGTATTTGAAGGAATTTTTTTATTTTATAATAAAGTAATATGAGTTCTAAATCTTGCAATCTTAGTGATTTTATCCAATAAAAAGGGGGGAATTTGAAATTATTAACCAGGAATTCAGTTAGAGAAAAGGATAGCAAGAAAGAACTCTATAGTAAAGTTGACAAATTAATGATGCTAAAATAGATAAAATGAAAACTTGGTATCAGATTTTAAGGATTACATTTCAAATGGAAATAGGGTTATAGCAGAAAGAGTTTAAATTTATTTTTCAACTGCTTTAATAAATTATGCTTTTGAACCTATGGTGGTTCTGTTTCCCCAATCAACTACTTACCTTATCTATTTTTTAAACTCTTGAAGTGTCTTAAAGTCAATAAAGAGCATCATTCCAAATAAAAAATTTGTTCAATCATATTTTGATTTGAACCTGAAATTAGCTTGAAAACAATAAATTAAAATTACTTTAAATTTCATCAATAGCTTTGATTTCCATGTTAAAAGTCGGTTAAAGAATTCAGAATTATTTAGAATCTTATCTTAATAATAATAAATAAGTCCATCATTTAATAGATAACTTAGTTTATTAGAAGAATTTTCTTTTTTTTTTTTTAAGATACATTATTTATTAGTCTTGTTTACTTAGTAAAATGAAGCTAAAGTATTAATTGATACAGATTTTGATGAACCTTGAATATGATTGGATCTAAGGTTGGGTCAAATATTTATAACTAGATTCATTCACTATAATACCTTCTTACTACTTTTATAAATATTTTTCAATCATTAATAGACATTGATGAGTCAGAACTAAAAGAAATTTTAATGAACTCCCCTCATTTTCCCTAGAATTAGAATTGCAAAGAATTAAAAAAAAAAAAGTTGCTTCTTAAAACATGCTCAAATGGAGCTGATGCTCTCTTTAAATGTGAACTGTCTGTTTCAAAAGTAATTTGAGTTTGTAAGGGATAAGAGGATCTATTAGATTAGTGTTTAGGGATCATTGATGATTAAGAATAAATAGATTATTCCTCAATAGAAACAGATCTTAATCAGAAAAGGAAAATCGTTTAAACTTGGTGTAAACTATTGGAAGCATTGATTGTTTGATATTAATCAAAAATATCAGGAATTAACTTTAAAAGTGCTAGTATTTGAATTAGGAAATTTAGATGAAAAAAGGATTAGAAATAATAACAAGTTAATGGGATAGGATCTGCTAATTGCTTTTGAGTACGTACTTGAAATGCAATAAAATTTGATATTTTTAAGTAAAAATTCAACTAATATTAAATTGCTTATATTTGTTTATAAATAGAATTTCAACAGAAAGTGATAATTAGTGTTCAAAATATTGGCACAAGAAGCATATAATTTCTAATTTAATATTGAATAGAATGCAAAGAGGGGATTAGAAATTGAAATTGAATGGTGAGGGAAGATAGATTTGTGGGACTATTGCTTTAACATTCAAATTTGCACAAGGTTATGAATTGCAATACAATTAAAAGTCATGCTTTATAAATGATCATACTCTAGAATATGACGAATGCCAGTTTTTAGCTATTCCAAAGGACCTGAATATAGAGTATTGTTATACTATAAATGAAAACGAAGAAATCAAATTGGATGTCAAGGACTACCATTTGGATGACATTTCTGACTTTGAATAATAGAAAAAATGGCAAGAATCTAAAACTTCTAAATTTTTTATTCCTTATTTAACTATCAGTCCAGATCATCGATATATAATTATATGTGTTGCTGTAGAACTATTATAAAAGATTGAAACTTAAAGAATAATCATTATTGATACATTTAATCCCAATATCAAAAAGGTGTTTTTCAGGACTTCTTTTATGGGGTACTAAAAACCATAATTTTCTAAGGATGGCAATTTTGCTTTCATCAATATTACAAAAAATGAGGAGAAATCAAGATTCTTAATATTGAATCTTAAGAATGGAATATAAGAAGAAAAAATCATTAAGTTGCATCGTTCAGTTAGAAAAATAGATTACGATGCCTAATCTGGTTGTTTGTTTTATATAACTAATTATTGCAAAATACATCAATCACCTTTGAATTAAGATGGCACTATTGATAAATCAAAGAAATAAATCTATAGAATTAATGTGGGACCAATCGATTTGTCTGGTTCTTTTATTGCTCTCACTCTACTTAGTGATTCAATGGTACTTGTTGTAGATGATATAGGCCGCTATATTGTTTCTAGAATTAGAAGCAATTGTAAAACAGTAAAATCATATTTGTATAATCAATATTTACCTCCATAATACACATTTAAAAAGGCGTTTGTTGTTATGGCTGATTCCAATTCGACATAAGTTGCTCTGCTAGATGTTTCAAGAGGCAAGTTAATTAGATCGATATAGGGGGCTAATTATTATTCCAAAGTTTATGGTTATCATTAGAAAGATTCATATTTTCTCTCTTTTGTGGCTTTAAGGAGTTGCAAAGAAACCAATCATAATTAGGTTTCAGTAGGGATTGATAGCGATAGCTAGAGTGAAATGAGAAAAAAAAGGTTGATTTTTGACTTTATTAGAGGAACTGAAATTGAAATACAAGGAGATGATGATGCTTCCGAAAGTTTCTAAGATATATTTACAAGAAATATTACTATGAGATTATACGATAATAAATTAAGTTATAAATTAAAACTTTGAGCATCATAGCTTAAAGAAATATTTGCTAATATTAATAATTTAAATTCTTTTTGATTAGCCTTTCGAAAATAATATTTCTGTTTTTTCAATACATTTATAACTCGTGATTCAACTTAAAGAATTATATTAGATTATGAATATGATGAAAGCAATTCATTCACATTTAAAATATTGAAATTTGACGATTTTTATTTTTGGTTTTATACTACAAAACCTGAATCATAGAATAAATCTAGGATATGATAGAAAGGGAAGACTAATCATATCTAAAATCATTAATAATAAATCCAGAAGAGTTGACAAATACTAAAATAGGAAAAACTTTAGATGATTGGAATGTTTAGAAAGATTCTTATTAAAGAATCTAGAGGTGAAAAAGAATTTATGGTATTAAGAGGTTAAATCCTTTTATGTAAAGTTAAATAAGGTAATGAAAGAGAGAGAGATATATTTCGAAATAGAGATATGTTAAAAACGAAAAGAAGATTTTTATGAGATATTAGCTTCAACAAAATATATTGATGTATATTAACTTAATGGGGTTCTAGAAATGTTTAGATAAGAGAAGATTAAAGATTGTCTAGAATATTTTCTTAAGTACACAAAAAAGAATAAGGACTAATGGATTCTAAGTATATACCTAATATTCTCAAAAATGTTAGTGAAATATGCTTCCATAAAAACAATTATTCTTCTAAGAGAAAAGGTTTCTATCTTTATTTCTGAGAAAACTATACTATTATAGAGAGTCATTGAAATGGTCAAATCTAGCTAGCAATTGAAAGCATGTCCAAATTATGAAGGAACTTACTTTATTCATTGAAATTAAAATGAAGTGAAATTGTTACAGGTTTTTTCATCATTAAATTTTGATTTTGTAAGTAAAATCCATTTAGAGAGACTTTTAAATTTTGTATATTGTTTTAAACATGATGATTCCTTAGGATTCTTTACTAAACCTATTCATTTATAAGATTCCAGGGGCTAGCATCTGAAGATTTTTGGCATGGAGAGGCAAGCAACAATTATAATAAGGTCTGAAATTTTGGCATGTAATATCTATGCAATCCCAATTATTGATTGATTTCAATGATCAGCTTAATTACAACTCATTTACATTGACTATTTCTATTAAAATTTATATTGAAAATATTTTAATTATTAAAAAAAGAATTGCACTACTTATATTTTGAAACTGCTTTCAATTATATACACATATGTGAACTTAACTACCATATGATGAAAATATCAGTTATTGTTACATTTTTTTTCAAAAATGAAAGAAATTATTAATCGCACTATAAACAATCTTAATATCCTCTTAAATTATTTATACAGATAATTTAAATTTATAGCCAATTATTATCCAAGCTAATTTTCTCAGACTCAGTATTAGTGAGAACTTGATTCCCATATGTATTATTTAAAGGCAGATGGTGAACAAAAACTTTATATCACTCATATTTGATTTTGATTAAATAATATTTTTTAATTACTTTTTTTTTTGTGTAAATCTGTTTCTATTAATATAAATCTAAGATTTTTTTTAAGTATTGTAAAGTAACATAAAATAAGTAAATCAATTTAGAGTTGATCATTTATTAGTTGGAATTCTCCGCCAAGTTTTAATAAAGATAAGGATTAATTCTAAGCATCAAAATTTTTGAAGTTAAAACAATTCAAATAAATGTATTTTGATTAATTAAATAAATTTGTATAAACTGAGTTTATATTGAATGAAATCACTGTATGTTTAGTTGTTTACAATTATACAGTGCTACTATAATATAGAATCAATTAATATTAAATAGATAAATCTAATTTAAAATTAGAACTAAAAGTAACAACAAAAATTTACTCAAATACAATTAGTGATAAATTATAATGTGATGAAATTCAACTTCTCCCATTTCTTCTTAATTTACTAAAATTTCATTCTTTTTAAAAACGGAATAAAGAAAGTCTTGGCAATACCTTATTTTAAACACAAGGATATTCTATATTATTTTTAATCCTTAAAAAGAATCACATCAATATTTTTATATATCTGTAGATACTTTTGTAAGTAAATTTAGTAAAATTAGAAATTAAATAATATCAAATAAAGTAAAATTGAATTTTAATAACGCGTATCTATATTACTAATTTAGATTGTGATCATTAGTTTTACAATAATTTTAATAATTCATAATAAAATGTATATGAAAAATATCTGTTAAGTATTAAGATTTTAATTCAATACAACATTATCTTATAAATAATTTAATAGAATTAAGAATCTTAGTTATTAAAATGAACATCCATAATTAGAATAATATTTATTGAATTAAATATCAATTCTAGCTTAATTAATTAGAAAAAAACTGAAAAATGATGGAAAATAGATACTGTATCATAAAAAATAAGTGGAGATAATTTGAGCTATTCTTTAAAACGATTTATTATGAATAAGCATCCTATTTATTTTTACTTCCAAAGAGAAACTAAATAATTTTGAGAATGCTATTTAAATCATGAAAATAATCTGGCTATAAATGCTAATTCTTTAATTCAAAATAATTATAATGTATCATTTTCTTATTTCCAACAATGTATCCTAATTCTTGAATTCTTAGGCTTTGTCAAATTTATCTAAATTCAATAATGAATTATCTAAATTTTATTAAACAATACTCTTATTTGCTATTATTTCATGATTTATTGAAACTTTAAGTGCAAAATCATAAGATTGTAAAGCTTAACGATATTCTTTAAGGTTATGTAATGTTAATCCTATAATTAATGTTCATTTAGTAACCTTTACTATTATAATAGTGCTGATTATTAGGATTTATATTGATCGCTTTATTATATGATTCTATAGCTTCAAGATAACGTTCAACTTAATGTAAGACTCTACCTAATATTTTATTAATGATATTATTAATAAAGTTACCTTTATTGTAGTAGGCCTCATCATTATGAAAATTTATTCTTATAGCCAAATCATAACAATCAATAGCCTAATTAAAACGGTTCAATTAAATTAGCGCATACCCTGCTTTGAAATACAATGAATACCTTTATTCATATATACGGCATCGTTTTCAGAATTTATTTTCAAAGCTTTATTATAATTTTGAACTGCGAGCTCAAAATATTATAATTTGGCTAGAGCATTTCCTATAATTTAATTGTTATCAACTACCTTTATAAAAGTATATGGATGCATTATCCTGTCGTAAATGAATTGCCTTATTATAATAAATAATTGCTTCTCTATACTTTTCCTTCAGATATAAATCATTAGCTTAAGTAATATTAAATTTATTACCTTGGGTAAAATACTGAGTTTAGTCTATGATTGGTTCTAAAAAAGATTTATTTTTGATTGGTTGTTTTTGCCTTAATAAAAAATCTAAGTTACTCCTCAGTTTCAAGATATATCCAAAGCATTGCAAATGTCAAAAGAAGAAAAAAATAAGTAAAAATCATACTGATAATAATTGAAAGGCACATATAACCACCTATAGAAAGCCATCTCTTTATATACTCTAAAAATAGATATCGCTAAGAATACTTATTAATTGATATTTTCTATTTATTAAGCAATCCTTCTTTATTAATTCTAAGGATTAAATTAGTTGTTCCATTTAAACTAGTTCATTCTCTAAACCTTGCTAAATTTTACAATCCTCTAGTTATTAATCAGGGGAAAATTATTGTTTTAAGATTTTGATTTCTGTATTTGACAAACATCTATATTTTTACTTCGAAAAGTATCTTTAAATGTTTCTCAGTTCATCTATTTGCCTTTCATAGGCATAAATTTAATATCTGCCCAATTAGTGAAGTTCAATTTATTTGACTTTGACCTTGTCTAAGTTATTCTTTTTTTCTTTGATTAAATTGGAGAAGTCCTTTGTTATTAGTCCAAATTCTTTGCAGCTCTCTCTATGATCCCCATGATCTTGTTCTAAACATTTTTAACAATAGAAAGAATTTGAAGGACAATTTTTCGAAATGCAAAACCCTATACAAATTTAAGATTTGTGAAGTTAACAATTCTAAGCCTTTTATGTATTAAACATTGAATTTTTGAATAAATATAGAATTTTTAATTCTAATCTACAATATTTTTATACATACGTGTAACTAGCTTATAAATTCAAATTTATAAAGGAAAATAAAAAATAAAATTATCAATAAATTTGTTTGTGTTTTTAAGAGTGGAATGTCAACATTATTTTAAACCTATATTTAAACTTAATACTTTAAATATATTAAACCAATGCAACACATATACTAATCTCAAATTTTTCCCTAAAAACTGGAATATGTAAATAAGAAATCAAAAACAGAAAAATAAATTCTTACATAAAAGTAAAATCTCAATTTCAGACTAATGAGCATTCTTATAATGAAAATCTTACTAAGTGATTTATTTAACGATAAATTTATTCAAAAAATAACATAAATGTGATGACAATTAAAATAAATTCTATAATCAGATTAGTTTGTATCATATTCTTTCATTCAATCAATAGATAATCAATAAAACACTAAAATACATTCATCCCAACTTATTGGTTAGAAATAGCACTTTTTTTTAATATCATTCCTTTAATGTTATTGCTATTGATACTAATAATTCAATGGTAGCCATTGAAAAGAATAAAAACAATTATCTGTTCATTCAAATGTAATACTTATGCTCTAAATTTCTTCAAATTTTAGAAACAGTTTCTAAATGTGTGTCAGACTTCATCAATTTATATATGGTCAATCAATATGGTACAAAAATCAAATACAGATTAAAAGTTATAAGCTGATTCAAGTTCTATGTTTCGTATGTGCATCTCCAAATTAGAGGATCAAGTCATCTAGATACTATGAAAACCTATAAAATTTAGAGTCAATTTGAATTATATCCTGCAGAATGGCTTAATTTTCTATTTATAAATCAACTTGTTCGAATAAGTTTTATTCAACTTCAGCCTTGGGTTTAATAAGTTTTATTATAATGCGGCCCCTGCTATAACTTAGATACTACTTTATCAACATATGCCCTATTATCATTTTTCGGATTAAGTTTAATTGCTTCATCAAATCATTCCTCAAAATTTTACTTGAACATTATTAATCAACAGCCCTTTAAAACCTTATAAATGGTCTCTATTATTTAATAACTTCTCTGAATTTAAGTTTTAATTTGAACTTTTCGATTTTGATTTTATTTCAGATTCTTCTCTTAAGTTATTTTACCTTAGTCCATCAAATAATTTGTATAATATCTAACCTAAAGCATTGCTTTTTTTATGAAGTTTAATTTCACAGTTTAACTTAATAATAATTTTCTTTCGTAACTATATTTTCCATGAAAATATGCATTTTGAACACAAGATTTTACATCAAATAAGTCATTTGATAAATATATCATAATTGAAATAATACAACATATAAGTATTCACTTTTTTTCTCAATCCATGCCATCTACTTCTTAAATCATATATAACCTTATATTTAACAATTTTAGAGATTTAATGTTTAAAAAATCAATTAAGCCTAAGAATAATGAAACTATTCAACAGAATTCTTGTTATAAAGAAAAAAATATAATGGTAGAAAATAAAACACCTTTTCTAAAATAAATTTCTAGTTAATTTGCTTAATTAGTTTTTGATCATTATATTTTATCTAAAAACTAATTGAATCATAAATTATAATTATAGAAGTATTTTATAATTGATTTCTTTTTCAAAAATCATATATAAACCAAAAGAATTTATTACATCCTAATGACCACTTTCACCTATCGAATGACAATTTAATTAATAGAACCAGAAATTTAGTCTAATTAATAGAACCAGAGATTTAGAGATGATGATTATTTCATTTTTCCTTAATCTTTTCAGCTTCCTTTTTCTTTTTATCCAATCCTTGCTTGGCACATTTTAACTTCCGAATTTGATTTTATTTTATCTAAGTTATTCTGAATTTCTTATTAAAAATATCATTTTCTTAGATCTTCTTAAAGTTGTATTAAGTGTTTTCATAAGTTTTAATTGCTTATTAAGAAATTATTACAATTCATCCCTTGTAAATTATTCTATCGAAATCTTCATATGATTAAAATATTTCTTTTTCTTAATTAACTATGGAAATTACGTCAATGAGCCAATTTTTATCAGGTAGGTTATCATCCTCAATTCCTAAGATTTATTGCTACTGGCTGCACCATGTTTCCAATTCTTTTATCTAATTTTATTAATCTCATCTAAGGTATTTCCCAAAGGCAGCATTGTATAATACTAAAATATTAGATTTGAAGGGTTAATTTCTTGTAAATCAACTCCTATTTAATCAATGTTGCTTACATTTATTCAATCAAGCCTATTGATGCGTTTCTTCCTTATAATTTTATAACCATATGACAGATCATTATTATTATTTTTCATCTCCATTAATAAAGTTGATTTTTAAAAAATTTATTAATAATCGCATCTGAGAAAACATTTGAATTAACTTTATTCGCTCTCTCCACATGTAATTCTGTAATGTAATTGTATTTCAAAATAACAGATTTGATTGCCTTCATTAATTTTCCATTTAAATCAAAGTTTTTTGGTGCTTCATTTGTTCAGAATGTAATAACCTTTAAGAAAACATTGTCTGCGCATAAAATGCTAAACCAAACTTTTACAAATATTCTTCAACATCCTCTACAAAAATTTTAACATAAGTAAATGATAAAGTTGAAACAAAATCATAGATTGAGTGTAATAGTAAAATTATCTAATATAATGACAATTTGAAAAAGAATAAAAGAAAAATGGATTTCCTTTAGTTTAAAAATATTAACATTCTGGAAAATATTGCCACTCATGGATACTTAAAAAAGGCTATATTAGAAACCATTAGAAAAATAGAATCATGAATCAATTACTTTAATTTAAATTATACTCACATCTATGGGATTAAATTATATATATTAAGTGAAAAAATTCAGAATAATTAATATAAGTAAGACCTATATATTTTTTGAACTTTTGAAAAAATTCAGCAAGAATTAATTAGCATTATTTTTAAAATAATTTTTAATTGTAATGAAGAAATATTGAAAAGTCTCATATCGATAAACAAAAAAAGGAAAATGAAAGTAATAAGATTACTTTTCTATTCAAAATTAATATTAATGCTCCCTTGGCTACTTAAGCTCTCTTGAAACATAATTTATATTTCTTGATGAAACTACCTTCGGTCATTCCTATAAATCAATAAAATGTTAATAATTAAAAGTTCAAATAAAAACCAGGTTTATTGAAAATGGATAAAAATGAGTTTATTGTGAGGAATAGGGATTTAAGGATTCGTAGCCTACTAATTAATAATTTTAATTTGAAATTCTAAATTATATTTGTTTCAACTATAATAAATAAAAAAAGCCTTGATAATTAATAATGGTGTTAATAATCATTAAAGCAAATTTATAAAAAATATTTAAAATAGTGTTACTCACTTATTATTACTGGTAGATTGTCCTAAATTAGATCATATAGAAAGAGCTTGGAGTTAATTAAAAGAATGGTTAATAATGATAGCAATATATTTTTAATGAGCATATAACAGAATTTATAACTTCTTTTATGCTTAGACTGAATAAAAGATTGAATGATAAATACATGGGTTAATACTTTATTTATAAAAGGCATTTTCTAAGTTATAATTATGAATTATTGAAATATTCTTACATATTGACTGACCAATTATTAATTATTCATTGATGGAAAAAACATTTAACTTTATACTTTGACAATATTATTGCAAAAAAACGAATAGGTATTTGACTATCTTTTAAATTTATTTCTGATTCTTCAGAACTTTTTCACATGTTATCTCATAGATATGCATTTGTTCATTATTATTAGCCTAAATCAAACAACTCACTCGTGATTAATCATAAACATAATCCATATTATTCTTCAACAATCTTTTAATTTAATACACTATTTTCAGTCCCATTCTAAAGGTTTTATGATAGCTATTGATTTCGTTACTGCAGAAGATTAATTTTATTTATTTTTTTATTTATTAATAGTTTATCCTAATACTCTTTTTTTAAATGACCATTAATAGATTACTAAAATAGACAATTGAGATTTTTTCTGCAGACACTTGATAGTCCTATCATCACCACTTGATATTATACAATCGTCAGTTTTATTAATTAAAACATACCTAATAGCGCTCGCTATCTTGACCTTCTAATTTTTTAGCATTCCCACAAATTAGATTGATTAATTGAATATAGCATTATTTATTTTCACAAGATCTAATTTAATTAGAGAGCTTCATAAAATTGAAAAAAACACATAATTTTTATGTTCTGTTAAAATTTAAAATAATTTAAAGAAACCTAATCTGAATTCAAATATCTTAAGTATTCTAACAAGCGGCTGCCAATATCTGAATATCTTTATTAATTTTTATGGCATGACAAGGTTCAGATTTAATAATAGAAGTTTTTTATTTCTATTCGGAGATTAACTTTTGTCATTATTGGCTGTTGATTCGTAAATTAATTCTGAAAATGTTATTTTAGTAAAAATCAAATATCCTATTTCATCATCAAATATTACAGAAGATTAAAAATAGTGGTAACATTCTACAAGAATCATAGAATGGTTATAATTTGTTTCTATTTTTTAATCTCATTACTTTATATTATTTGTTATTTGCCAAAAATCTTTGGATTATTCTTATAAGCAAATTAATTTTGATTAAGTTATTATTCAGAGATAAATTTAATTGTAAAATATCAACTATGGTATACTTTATTTTCTTCTCTGAAGGTGGGTGGCAAGCCTTTGAATTAAACGTATGATTATTTGTGTACACAAGCAAGTATTCATGAAGATTTAGATGGGTTTTTAGATAACGCATGTAATCCTCCATATTATAAAAAATCAAAATATATGTAATTAATTCATTTACGAATTCTCTAGGTTTGGTAAAAATCTAACCAATTATTTAGGAAGATTTCTAATAATTATCCCTAATTTCTATTTTTTCATTATAGAATTGAAAGTAAATTTTACTTACAAAATTAAAGAATTAAGTTAAATTAATTGAAAGTATCTATAGAATAATTTACTCTTTTTTTATTATTATGGGTCAGTTTTTAAAATAGTCGCTGGATTTTAAAATGATATACTCCTCCCATAAAACCGAATTTCAATAAATATTATCAAGGAATGAATTGAAAATTCTATTCTATCACTGAAATAATGATATTGAAACCTTAAGCAAACTTTATTGTTTATTTATCGACGTAAATGCACCGATGAATGAATCGTCTTTAGGACTTGGTTCTGCAATATAATTAACAACTGACAACCTTTCATCGACAGAAATTATGTTAAGTAAATTAAAAATTTACATCTAAACCCATCATTATCTTTAGTTTCATACTATTGAATAATTATAATTTCCTTTTACTAATGTCTTGATCAAAAGTCCATTTATTAGTGATGTATCTTATTTAACTTTTATTTCATCTCTTTTTACTAAACTTTTAAATATTAATTAATTTTACCTTTGATAATCAATTAATAATCTAAAATAAAGATATTTAGTCGAATTTAAATAAATTGCTATCCATCCTGATTTTTCATATATTCTGTATGTGATTATGAAGCTTTTTAAATAGCTCAAATGTAACCATTCCATAATATATTAGATGGGGTCTAGGATTTTGGAAATCCCTAAAGAAAAAAAATGAATAATTATAGAAACCTTTTGACCTAGAGTCTGAAATAAATTTTTCTAATAGTATTGATTAATTATATATCTTGCACCATCTCACATTCCTTTTTCTAAATTTAATATAATTTGAAAGATCAATAGTATCGTAGAAGTTGTAGAAGCCAATATTTAAAAATTAAAAGTAGAATTTTTCTAACCTTTATAGTATCTTTTGGCAATTTAAAGTGATTTAAGTATGAAAAATACTACTTTGATTGATTATAGCAATATTAGGAAAAAATTCAATCCTTCTTCATTATATTTATTACTAAATAAGTCAAATGAATATATAAAAATTATATATGTTATTTGAAGGACTATTCTTATCGTTGGATTGAAATAAGAAATAATTCAATCAAATTCATTATTATTTAAAAAATATTATAGAAAAAAAGAAAAGTAAATTAATAATTTTTTATTTTATTCAATTATCATAATCAATTTCGTCTAGCTTCATTTAAATACTTAAATCTATTTTCGTCCATTTACCAACTTTCTTACCATTTTGATATTAACCACTATAACCTATTTAATGAAACCTTTAAAACTCATCTGACAACTCAATCCAGTTACCAAACTATTTTCCTTCACCCTTTTCATCATATGATCCACCACCACTAAATATTTATTGCAGACTTTATAAAAAGTTATTTACATCAATTGGTGCTTTCCTCTGACCCAATCCCAATGCCAAATATCCCATCTACCAACTTTTTTATCATTTTTATATTAACCATTAAACGTAACATAATAATCGGTCTGAAACTTTTGAGACAATTCAATCCATATACCCTGTTTTGTCCCTTCACCTCCTTCATCATATAATCCACCACCTCTAATCAAAATAAGTAATATAATAATTTAAACATTTATTTCCAAGAATCAATTATATCGTCCTAAGTGAGAATATCCCAAAGCCCTATTTTCTTTCCATATTTATATTCACCTTTATAAATTACATGAGTCTTTTCAATTAAATCATTTTGCCATTCAATCCATTTACCATTCTTAATGCCAGCCCCTTGATCATCATAAAATCCACCTCCGCTAAATTTATTTTAATAACTTGTAATACTTACATTTATTAGTATGGAAAATCCGTATAAGAACTATACAATATATTCCATCGACCAATCTTTTTACCATTTTTATATTCACCATTTACAATTACATTATGTATACTATCAAATCTTTCCCATAACTCTATCCAATAACCAACCTTAACATCTTCACCTTTGTTTTGATATATACCTCCACCTCTAAATAATATAAAATATCCTTATTTTTATTTTACATTTACTGATTTCTTACATATTCTTAACCCTAGCCAAAACCTTTAAAGAAAATATCCCATCTGCCAACTTTCTTCCCATACATATATTTTCCTTTCAAAGTTATTTATGAACCAAAAAAATATCCACTATTAGGTAAAGTCCATTTACCTACTTTTTTTCCTTAGCAACCATTATCATATGTTCCACCACCACTGAGGAATTATAATTAAATTAATTTACATAAATTTGAATTAATAATTAGAACATGCTTAAAAATAAATATTCCATCTGCCAACTTTTATCCCGTTTTTGAATTCTCCATAATAGATTATATTAGAAAAAAATTGAAATTGATCCTAAAGTTCTGCCCATTTACCTTGTTTTATCTGATTTAATTTATCCCCATATGATCCCCCACCGCTAAAAATAATTTATGCTGATTTTAATTTACATCAATTGAAATTTTTAACTTGAATGCTCCCTATACATAATATTCCATCTACCTATTTTTTTCCCATTTTTATATTCACCTATATTTGTTACTTAAAAATCATTAGAAAATCCGTCTGACAGGTCAATCCATTTACCCTATTTTAACGGAAATTCATGCTTATCAAATGAACCACCACCACTATATATTTTAAATTACAAAATCTTTATAAACTTTTTACATGCAGCTACTTTTTTGGGTCCTAAAATCCAATAATAAAATCTCCCATCTATCTACCTTTTTACCATTTTAATATTGACCAGCATAAACAACTGGAGATTCATTCTAAAAATCATCTGAAAGCTCGATCCATGTACCCTACTTAATTTGATTACATTTATGATCAAATGAACCTCCACCACTTTACAAAATTATAAGAATATTAATTTACATCAATTGAAATGGACAATTTGAATGCTCCCTAAACATAATATCCCATCTACCAACCTTTTTACCATTTGTATATTCACCAACATATGTGGCTTAAGAATGATTATAAAATCCATCTGAAAGCTCAATCCATCTACCAAGCTTAATTCCCTCACTTATTAAATAATATGATCCGCCCCCACTAAATATAATTATGCACATGATAATTTTACATTAATTAAAATGGATAATTTGAATGTTCCCTAAACTTAGCATCCCATCTGCCAACTTTTTTCCCATTTTTATAGTGCCCACTATATGTGACTTAGGAATCATTATTAAATCCATCAAATAACTCAATCCATTGGCCTATTTTAATCCCTTCACCTCGTTCATCATATGATCCACCCCCTCTGAATATAATTAAGTATATTATAATTTTACATTAAATAAAATGGACAATTTGAATTCTCCCTAAACATAATTTCCCACCTACCAACTTTTTTCCCATTTTTATATTCACCATTATATGTTACTTAAGAATTAACATTAAATTCATCTGACAACTCGATCCAAATACCTACTTATATACCATTGCCTTATTCATCATATGATTGGTAACCGCTAATTTTCAACTTTAAATAATGATTTTACATTTATTCTGGTTTATTATTACAAGGGTTTGTCCACTAAATGTTCCATCTACCAAATTTCTTACAATTTTTATACTCTCCATAATAAAAGACTTAAGAACAATTCTGAAATCTATTCTATAGTTCTTTCCAATGCCCATATTTTTCACCTTATTAACTATATAAACCCCCACCACTTNCTAAAAATAATTTATGCTGATTTTAATTTACATCAATTGAAATTTTTAACTTGAATGCTCCCTATACATAATATTCCATCTACCTATTTTTTTCCCATTTTTATATTCACCTATATTTGTTACTTAAAAATCATTAGAAAATCCGTCTGACAGGTCAATCCATTTACCCTATTTTAACGGAAATTCATGCTTATCAAATGAACCACCACCACTATATATTTTAAATTACAAAATCTTTATAAACTTTTTACATGCAGCTACTTTTTTGGGTCCTAAAATCCAATAATAAAATCTCCCATCTATCTACCTTTTTACCATTTTAATATTGACCAGCATAAACAACTGGAGATTCATTCTAAAAATCATCTGAAAGCTCGATCCATGTACCCTACTTAATTTGATTACATTTATGATCAAATGAACCTCCACCACTTTACAAAATTATAAGAATATTAATTTACATCAATTGAAATGGACAATTTGAATGCTCCCTAAACATAATATCCCATCTACCAACCTTTTTACCATTTGTATATTCACCAACATATGTGGCTTAAGAATGATTATAAAATCCATCTGAAAGCTCAATCCATCTACCAAGCTTAATTCCCTCACTTATTAAATAATATGATCCGCCCCCACTAAATATAATTATGCACATGATAATTTTACATTAATTAAAATGGATAATTTGAATGTTCCCTAAACTTAGCATCCCATCTGCCAACTTTTTTCCCATTTTTATAGTGCCCACTATATGTGACTTAGGAATCATTATTAAATCCATCAAATAACTCAATCCATTGGCCTATTTTAATCCCTTCACCTCGTTCATCATATGATCCACCCCCTCTGAATATAATTAAGTATATTATAATTTTACATTAAATAAAATGGACAATTTGAATTCTCCCTAAACATAATTTCCCACCTACCAACTTTTTTCCCATTTTTATATTCACCATTATATGTTACTTAAGAATTAACATTAAATTCATCTGACAACTCGATCCAAATACCTACTTATATACCATTGCCTTATTCATCATATGATTGGTAACCGCTAATTTTCAACTTTAAATAATGATTTTACATTTATTCTGGTTTATTATTACAAGGGTTTGTCCACTAAATGTTCCATCTACCAAATTTCTTACAATTTTTATACTCTCCATAATAAAAGACTTAAGAACAATTCTGAAATCTATTCTATAGTTCTTTCCAATGCCCATATTTTTCACCTTATTAACTATATAAACCCCCACCACTTTAATTGAGAATTATTATTACATCTTTTTATTTTAATAAACATATTTCCATCTTCCCGTTCTTTAGCCATTCTCATATTCTCCTATTTCATAAACGTAAGCTGTAAAATTAAATAGTCAAAATACACTAAACACAAAATCTTGATACTATCTCTACCCAATTACCTTACTTTCTACCATCATCATTGTAATGTCCTCCAACATTTCTCAAAGCCTCTCCATCCCATGTAGCCATCCAATATCCAACCCTCTTATTATTCAATCCAAAGTTCCCATGCCAATATAAATGTTTAATTTATTCAAGGTTAGTCATCAATTGATATCCTTCATAAATTTCATCTCTTAAACAAAGAAATAAAGTATTACATTCTCAAAATTGATCCATTATAAGCATAAGTTATTTCTTTTTGATTTATGATAGTATAGAAATTTCTGAGTATTAATTATCTAAGACTGTAGGTATGCTACCCATCCCTATCCCGCCCAATATGCATTAAAGGTATTTTTGTTTATAAGATTGCAGATTGCTCTGAAACATTTTTTGATAACATAAAAATTATTTGGATTGATTTGCAACATTTACTAATTAAGGATTTAGAACGAATAAAATACATTTATTTCTGAAAATAAAATTTACAGATAATGATGATATGATTATAGTATTTTGATTAAAATTCCAGTTTTTTTTATAAGGTGCAGTTGAAATATTAATAAGTAATCAATAAACAATTCTGATTTATTTATATAGGAGTTTCCAACTTAACAAAAAATTAAGAGTTATAAAACACAAGTCCATTATTTTTGACCTTCCTTAAACGATTAGTTTTATAAAACAATATTCAGAACCCAATTTTAAAGAAAATATCATAAGAGTTCTTGCGTATTTAAAGGAAAATCAACACCAATTACTTTTTATTTAATACTATAATCAAATTTAAGGCTAGGTTTTATTGAGTTATCAGAATATTTGGAGATAATTAATATTATTGTCGAAGCTTAGAGTTAATAGCTGATAGAATTCATTAAATAATATATATACTACTTTTACTGTAGTAAATTCTTTTGGGATGGTTTAAAAAAATTAGAATAAACTAGTCTTTCTTTCTTAACTGGGATTGATTTGTAGATTTACTAATTTGTATTCTATAATGAAATGATATGATTTTTATGCTTCAACAATTTGCATAATGTGATTATTTTGTGTATATGAGGATTATTTCTCATCCCATCCTAAATTTCAAATTAATGCAGTCCACAAATAAAATAATAAGTATTAAATTCCATAATGAAATATATTGAGTATAAAATTTGTTTTTCAATGTTCCATAAATAAATTGCAATGAACTAATTATGAAATCTTAATTCCTTTTGGTTTATGGAATGGATTTATGTATAGATTTTGGGAAAATCTATACATAAAAGCATATCAGGTTCCAGTGGGCAAAGTGCTTCCTATGGGTTTTAACATTTAATATCCCCTTAAAGAAGTAGCTATGAAGACTCCCTGGCCGCTGAATGTTTAATTAGGGTATTTCTAGACAAGGGGGGGATTGGAGGATCCTATTTTAAAAAGTATTATTCATTGGATGATCCAAACCAAAGCAAGGTAAGTCAGAAAAGACCTGGCCTTCAGAAGACTTAAGTGCTGTTGGCTGGTGATCCTATGGAATAAAGGGTGTTTTTAGAATGAAAGTCGATATTAACCAGCGGCAAGTACTCAAATATGGGTGCCCCTCTAATTGTTATTCTGAATATTTAAGAAAAAAGATTTATAAAACAATTTTAATTAGACATTTTTCAAAATGAATAGTATTTAACAAAAAGGCAATCAGAATTTGAAAGAATGGTTTTAAAAAAAATTATATAGGTCAAGATAATAATCCATAGATGACTAATTCCCTGATACCAATAGTTGAAGGAAATCAGAAGAGAATCTTTCATTTAATAATAGGTGACTTAGACACACTCTCTCATGTCTAATTACATAAATCTCAATTTAAGTACTTAGATTCAGACTACAGAGATAAGCATAGAAAGTACAAGTTCAAAAATATTGTTCGAGTTATATTAGTTCTGCTTAAGGAAGAAAAGTAACTTATCATGAAAGGATAAAAAAACGCGGAAAGGAGGCAATCTAGAGAGAGATAGAGTATTTAGGATGTTAGAAAAAACACTACTAAAAATGAGAATTCCACCCGGGGAATCCGATGATTTCAGATGCGGAATCAGTCCGAAGCCAGCAAACTTTCCGCAAGATGTAAATTGATTCCCAAAGTATAATCGTCATCTAGGGAAATTGCTGTAGAAAGGAATTGATTGAAAATGGAGGAATAGAGAAAATTTTCAAGCAAATCAGTGAGGCTCTTGGAAATTACGGTTTGGACATCTCCTTGATCTCATTAAATATATCCCCTAGAGGATTCAAAGGGTTTGTACAAAAATTTGGTTATCATATTTACTTCAATCTAATTACCAATTTCCACTGGCAATTTCTAGGAAAACATAAAAAAGTGACTGAGGAAAAGAATAATTCAGAGAGAATGGCTATGATCTTGAAAACAAAGCTAGAAATGATTAGGAAATATGACCTTATGAAACTACTAACCAATAACCTAAAATGGCTTGGAGGAAAAGTTAGAGGTCTTCCATCATATATTGACTTGTTATACATTGCTTTAGATATCCAAAACAACACTCCATACTTAATTCTTTTTAAAGATCTAAACTTAAAAGGGGGTTAAATTATATAAGAGAAAGGTTGGAGACTATGAAACAATTGTTCTATGGAGGAGAACGTTAACTTGTCTTAAGATTTGTTTTCATGAGATTGAGTCTATCTTTCAGTAGTAAATATGAATTTTATCTAATATTGCTAGCATCAACTTCATATGTATTTGCTTAAGTTCAATGCTCTTGAAATTAGTGTATTTTTTATAAAAATTAATCTACAAAGCGATTCTACCAAAACGTATTTAATGTTAATGCACTCTCGTTATAGATCAAGTTTAACGCCACTAAATATAAAACTGAGATATTATACAGAGGAAAGTCTTTCGTTGTTATTGAACCTTAAATAGGCTAGGGGAATAGATGATGTTACTTGATATAATAGTTTGAGGTAGTGAATAAAGGGAATTTATAATTATGTTCATATAAATGAGCAGAAAGAGAATCAGGTAGAACAATTCATGCCGTCATATGATTCTTAAATTAAGAATTCTAAGAAGAATTTAATAGGAATTATTATACAATTTCGAAATAAATTTATTGTTTTTTTTTACATAACTAAAGAATAACATCAGAATTCTTCTAAATACAAATTTAATTATATCATAATTTATTATGAGTGTTGGCGTCATATGTGAAACAACTTGTTTTGGAACTTTTCCCACCAAAGAATCTGATTGCGATGCATTCGAGGCTTCATAATCCTTCCTCACCTACGATGCCCTTGCTGGAGCTAGTGACAGAGAGATATAAATACCGCTTCGACTAGATATCAATCGAATTAAGGTTAATGTCTGTAGGCGAATAGGAGTATACTTTTTGAATAATTTATAAGGTTTATTCAATATCTAATTTATTAATTCACGTAAGTTTTAACCACCTATTTCAATAAGACCACTGCATTCTTCAAGTTGATGTTCTTATACAAACATAGTATATAATTGTTCACCATCGTGGCAAAAAAATAAACAAATCAAGTTTTTCTCTAAATTAATTGTTGATGAAAAATATCAGAATTCGTTTTACAAGTTTTTAGAATTCTTCATTTACTCCTAAGCCACCCAAAAATGCCTTGTAAACATGAAAAATATCTACCTTCTAAGGTAAGTTGCTTTTATATTGATCACAAGCGTATAACCCCCATCACTGTTTTTTACCTACAAGTAGGAAAATTAAATTAGGAAACCTTAATTAAATTAAATAAACTATTTTAATCTAGGACGCAAATTTTGAAGGAGAATGGAGAAAGTTTATTTTAGGATCAGATTACGCTAAAATACTATAAGAGAAAAAGGAGATATCTGTAACCAAGTAAAATTTAAATCTCGAGAAGACATATTCAGTTAAATTTCAAAATCGTATAATTTTCCATACCAAATTTGCAACACCAACTAGAAGATTTCTTTACAAAGCAACTTAGTGATATGTAAATCCATTAATATAAAGAAGCAAATGGCATTTGGATTAAAATATTAAATCGGTGAATTTAAAAAAATGTCATCATCAAAATTTAATTCTACTTTACTTTTTTTGATTAAATTTTGTATATAAAAGTTTCATTTTTAATTTCAGTCGAGAAAAGAAAATTACAGAGAAATTTAAAGAATTAAGAATTGTTTTGGAAAGAAAATGCAACGAATATTTTAAGCTTGATTAGCCTCCTAGATACGGTCAGTTGATCACATTTACTTTATTAAAAAGATTTATAAAACGATCTGATAATTTGATAACATGAATAGATCTTTTCAAATAATTCGAATAATTCCTAAAGTACTAAAATATTATTTATTAAATGTCCAAATGTACCAAAATAATCAATAGACCTATATTTTGGGGGATAATTTAAACTTATTTTTTTCTATAAATTATATGTATATCAGAAAAGATCTATCAACTACGGTACTACTTACATAATTTGAGTTACTTCATAACAATTTATCAAAATCGACCTGCCTCTGTTAGGTTTAAATCTCAAAAGTTAAATTATGTCCACTAACTTATATAATTGATTGAAGGAAAAGGAGATAATTTAAAACTTTGAATGTTCATATATAAAAAATAATCAGCAAAAATTAATTATAGTTCATCCAATTAGATTTAACAAAATGGCCATTTTTTTCTAAGCGGATCTTTCTGTAAAGAAATTTTAATTTGAAACTTAAAAACAATGAAAAGTTTTGTTTGTAAGAAAATATTATTTGAAATCTTAAAAAATGTTGAATAAAAATTATCAGATAAATTGAAGAGATGAACAAATTTTAATTATGAATGAGTATATTTATTGTTATTAGTTAAATAGTTAAGTTGATTTTAATATTAAATTATGTGCTTAAGTATATTAAAATACAATATTTAATATAGATATTAATTAATAATGATAATGCTCATGATTATAATTACTACAACTCATCAAACTGTGATTTATGAATTTAATGCTAATTCTAACAATATTGATGGTAATTTCT